GATATATGTTCAAGCCCTTCAAGGGCACTGTTCTTGAATCCCGCCTTCTGCCAGGAAATTTCCGCCGTTTTCCCGGGTATTTCCGCCTCTTTCCCGGGTATTTCCGCCTCTTTCCCGGGCATTTTCGCGCCAGGTGTTTTCAACTTTGGACTGGTTTTACTGCTCGTGTGCTCATTCCGCACAAGAAACCTTCAAAAACAAAGACATGGTAGCCAGATTTGCAGGTGGAGGTGGAAACTTAAGCGCCGCCATCTTTTTGTATCATTGAGGTGACCATTCCAGGCAGAAATGCCCAATGCATGCAAACCACCAAAAAGATTCAACTGTTCTATATAGAATATATGTAGTCTCTCACTAGATTCCTGAAAGGGAAAATTTGCGGCAACAAAAACATTTCCGCGGCAAAAAGTTGGTTTCCGCCCCAGGACGGGGAGAGCCGCTCTTCCCGAAAAAGGCAAGAATTTCTGCCGAACCTATACATTGACCCCTCTTTACCTTGCAAATATGGCAGTCCATACTGTTTGGGATAGAGAAACCATTCATGAACCCAGTCTAGGTACCCCTTCCCACTGCATGTAGATCAAAGGGGCCGAAGGTAGCTATGACCATTTATGACGATTTGGGGAAACGGTGGCACAAAAGAGGACTGAGGACTGATGGCAGACTTGGCCCGACTCACTTGTTCGCCGACCGTGAGTCGGCCCCCCCCAAAAACACACCGGTTCAATCCTTGAGTCGACCTGGAGGAGCATCCGAGAGTCGTCATGTTAACCCAGGTCTCGACCGTCTCACGGAGAGCACCTTCCGTCTCGTGGGGGGGATACGTCCATGTGACAGTACATCTGACGCAGACGTGACAACAGCGTCGTCCTTGGTCCAGCGGTGTCACGAAACTCGTTCACTCCAACCGCCCTGGCGCGTGGCGCGTGGCGGGGAACCCGCGTGGCGCGGGGCGGTGGCGCCGCGTGGGAGGCGCTGTTGCGGAACGCGGCTCACGAAGAAGCCGTGGGCGAAGACGTGTTCATCGCCCTGCAGCGAAGCAGCCCCTTGTATCCGAAGAAAGGAAGACGAGGAAGATGAGCGAAGGGAGAAGTCATGAGAAGTCCAAAGACTCTGGAGACTTCAAGGGACCATTCACACTGGAATGAGGAATGTCCAGTACTGGCACCAGCAGGACTAATTAACGGGAACTCCTTATTCTGCATTTGAAGTGCATTGTTGGAGGCGCCAAGCGAAGCTTGTGACTGGACAGGGTGAGGCATGGTAGAGGCTTGGCGAAGTCTGTTTCGGGTGTTTAGTGAGTGTGTGTCAAACTTTGCTTCTACAAGGGATCTGTGTACGTTATGTTTCCATTCCACGACAACTACCCGTAACTGTAAAGAGCTAACACTGACTGCAAATCTCTGAACAGACCTCATTCTCAAGTGTGCTATACAGCATCGTCCCACTGCAGTATGCTGTGTGATCCTTCTCGAGGTTGCCGCTTTCTACGAAACTCAGTACTCGCTACTGACAACCGGCAGACAACCATAGATTTTATCCTCGGTCACCCACGCTTCGAGGCTAGTGCCAGTCATGCATTTAGTTATAAGGATTATAAGGATCTAAGGAGAGTGCTAAGGAGCTACCAGTGGAACCGCTATGTTCATGCACAGCTGTGTGGCCACGCAACTATATCATGCGATATTCACTGGACTGAACCATGAACCAACAGCCTTCCGAAGCAAATCTGTGCTACATTCTGGTGCTAATTTGTGCAGTGAAGGTAGCAGAGCGCCACGGCGGTGTGCGCCTTCCGAACCTACGAGGCGACGAAGCTCATAGCGGTTTCGACGGTCGAGGATCTCATCGACGGAACAGCACCGCCTTCACTCCGAGTTCGGACCGTCATCGGAGCTTCTCTCAAAAATGCCCTGATTGGTGCAGCGGAATACAAAGAGATGCAGGCAATCGACAACGCCCGACTTCGCGATGATGGCGACGGAACATATTTCACCTGCGACATCCTGCGACCATTTTTTGTCCAGGTGCAGTTGTTCCAACCCTGCCGTGTGAAACTGAGCAGGTATCGGTATGGAGAACAAAAGCACAGTGAACAAAACATATCATGGGAATCTCTCTCTCTCTATATATATATATTTTATACTATAGGTCAATCAATGATGTACATGCTATATCTTTATTTTAGAGAAAGGCCTGCAACCCGACCATTTTCATTCACTGGGCCCTGGAAATCATATGATACATATCATGGGAATCTACTAAGTCATCACATGGTTAAATTTTCAGTTAGATCTGTCCAAGGCAATGCAGTTAGGTCGAACATCCATCGTTTTATGCCCAACCATTATTGAGAGGTCGCTTCGGCATGGCTGGGCTTTTCCAAGACGTATCCTTTCAACCTGTTCTTATATGTTCGTATGATCGATATTTGAATTAAAGGTCCTAAGGTCTCCCAAATTTCAAGGCTTGGGTCTGTAGAGCCGGGCAGAAATACATAGAAATACCATGACACTTGGAGGGGCTAGCGGCTTGATATTTAACTCGCCATAACTCGCCCTTCTCACCAAGGCGGTGATGAAGAGAGCACCTTGGCACCCGACGAACCCCATGTGAACTGCACCATGGGCAGGGCGACGCTCAGCGGGTCAAAGGGTATGATAGAAATGTCCAGTTCGAGAGAGAGTGTTTTTGCAAGTTTTTGGGGCTGTTCGAGGTCTCACTTCAATTTTGGACCACATCCCTGACCTCAAAACCCTTCGGAGGAACGTGAAAACTGAATTCACGACCACCACAAGATCCTCCGCATTGTGAATCACTACCCAGACACTTCATATATGCCTATAGTTACATTTACCCCTGAAGCCATCCCAATGTAGGTATTCCATACATGGAGTGGTTGGGTCATATTGTGGGATTGCAGGGAGCTTTCACAGGCTTCAGCACTCAAACGTTGTTGAGGCCGGAAGCAGATCGCGGAGCATCTCAAAGAGCACGTGGGTGAGGACGTAGATTCCCGTTTTCTGCCCAAGGGTCGGACACTGACACGGTCGGAGATGGTTACTGTAATGAATTTTATGACATCAAGGGAGGAATCACTCTGGAAGACCCAGTTTGAAGATGTTTGAAGATGAGGAAGATGTGGAGTCTTTGGAACCCAGACTTCAAGACCCAGCCTGAAGGCTTCAGGATTTGGTGGTGATTCAGAGATTCCATCGAGATCTAGATGTCTCTTGCTGGGAATCCTTCCATGAATTTACCCCGACCCCCTCTGAAAGGAATTAAAGAAGAATCGTATTTTTATTGATGCACAAAGCACTGGTTTAAGGTCCATCCAAGAGGGGGTTTTCCTCGGCTACTTAAACGGTCTCCCAGTTGTCTGCCATGATTCTGAGAGGAACCAGAGAACACATTTAGAGACCCGCAAATAGCTGGGAACGAGAATAAATCCTTGGAGGGGATTGACCGGAGTATCTATTTTGAGGTCACTCTGAGGGTCTCGGATGTGGAAATCAACGTGCTTTCTGTCCAGAATGTCTTGTGGCTCCAAAACCACGTGCAGATCGTGCTTTGGGAGAGATGTGTCAGACGAATCCTCAGACGTATTTGATTGAAGATGACTTTCTTATCATGGGTTCTTCGAACCTGAGCCCAGCGGCGTCTCCGCTTGAGGTCCACCTATGTCCCCAACTATAGTCGACTAGTGGATTCTTGGTCTGGTGACTCATGAACTCGCACGGAACATCACGTTCGTGACCACGGCAGACGCCCAAGACCCAGACGCACCACGGCCAGACGTCCGTGTAAGACACGGGTGATGGGAGGACCACGTTGGTTTTGCTGCGGTGACGGGTCGTTTTTGGAGAAGCCCACCCAGTGAATCCCAGTGGATCCACACTGCCGGAGCTGGTTCCCACTTCCTTTTCTTGGTCGAGTCGGTGTGTTCCTCGAACCACACGAAACGGAACATCACGTTCGTGGGAACTGCCCCACTGGGAGTGGGGCACGTCAGACTGGGGCGATGAGTGAAGTCTTGAGCCATTGATGTTCCATGGCACGTGATGTATGGAGCGATGGGTCGTTTAGCCCTGAGGTTTGATCCACCATTTGCTGTGAGGGACTGACACCTTCGGTAGGGAAACCGAAACCGGTACATGTGAATCCCAAGCCATTAAATCCTGTTCTACCGATGTTTTTTGGTGCTTTGACTGCCTGAAGTTTGCTCAGGGTGATGTTTAACTTTACTTTTCCCCTGTGGGCTATAATCTCCTGGCATGGGGAATATGTGTCTTTCCGGTTTCTGGGCAGCACATCCAAGCTACTGTCCTAGAACCTAGAACCGAGTTGACCGCCTATTTGGGGATGTTCTCCCGAAACAGGAGCCCTTACGGGTGCTCCGTTTGCTCCGTTTGCCCTTCGCTTTCGGCCGACCGCTCATTGGAAGGTGAACAAGGGAGGTCAACCGAAGGACGGCGTTGACAACAAGGTATCATCCATGCAAACAAATCTTCCGACCTATTTTCCCATAATTGAACATTGAAACAACGTACAACTGTCCTAGATGCCACTGTGATATAAACGCTTATAGCAAATCGTTTAAATCAACATATTTATAGTACAATGATCGCATAGTGTGCCACTTGATGACACCAACTCAGCACATACATTATCAGTCAGTCTCTCCCTATCTTTCCTATTGTTCTTTTTCACTTCAGCAACCCATTTCTTCTGAAGTCCATATCTCAGAGGGTCACCCTAGTTGGTCAGAACAGATGGACAAAAAGCGACTCATGGAAGTAGAACATGCAGTACTTGATGGACAGTAACAATCACCAGATGTCACCTCAATGACCTGCTGCATCCGATCTCATCCGATTCCATCCCTGTATTTAAAAAAAAATATAGGCGTCTGACGCACCGCGTCATCCAGCGACGTGAAGACCACGAAGCTATCCATCCAGCAGTCATTTTCCACATCATCGCTGTGTTGATGGGCCCAGATGGCGGGCCCGAGCATCTTCCAGAGGCACCTGGCGCCATGCTGGGGCCGAGCGGTCGGTGGTGGCCCATGTGGGCCCCGGTCATTTCAGACATGGAGACAGGGAGCTTGGAAAAGACACACCTTTCTGTATGACAAGTTAAACATAAGCCACTCATGCCAGTCTCAAGTTCACGATTTTCAGACGTTTACATACGTCTTAACTAAAAAGGCGTGTGTTGCCTGGGTACGTTTACATCTACGCTTTCACTCTGGCGTGTGTTGCCTGGGTGACTGGGTTGCCTGTTCATCACGACGTGTCAACGGTCGAAACCTCCACGGACCTCGGAAAGCGGCGCGTTCCGCCCGCTGTGCGCCGCTGTGCGCGCGAGCCGAGCCGAGCCAGTGAGACTAGTCTGGTGCGCTGGCTATGCACGTATATAGCTATCACCCTTCTTCACTAATTAGGTATAGGCAATGGGTTTAGGCTTTAGGATGGGTCGGATGGGTCGGATGGGTTATTCAAGGTTGTTCAACCTTTTTCAACCTTTTCACTATTTTTCACTAGGTATGGTCCGTTCATTCGTAGAGTTCGTCTTTCTCCTCCATGTGGGTGGGGTCGACCAGAGTCCTGCGCTGGTGGAGGTCGAAAACATGGTCGTCAGGACGACGGTTCCGCGAGATGTAAGGTTCTTCAAAGGTGGCTGACATGACCCAGTACCTTAGAAAATGGGACGTGACCCTATTAAAACAGGTATGACTGTAGGTACGAACTGAGAATGCAGGTATGTTTCAAGCAAGCCTTGGAGGGTCCTATATAAATTGGCCTAATTGACCTCGAACAAGCTGATCCCTCAGGTCGCAGAACCAGGCGTTCCAGAATGGTTGCTTTCGCAGCAGGTGCTCAGGTCAAGCATTTCCGCATTCTTCCCCCCATGGGTTCCGTGGCATTGGCGAGTTCCGCCGCCGTAGGCACATGATCTCTCATGAACTCAACTTTGTTTACTCAGCCTATTCCCTTTCATCCTGGTGGACCGCGTTGAGGCTCGTCTTCCAAAAGGGTCTGTCACGAACCCGCCGTCCGGCGCAAGAGGGCGGTTGGCGCATCGGCCGTTGCGGCAAACCCAAGACACAGCGCCATGTCAAGAGTGTTCGACTCTGAAGCCTCATAGCTTATCCTTCTGGATGACCAAGAGTCGGGGAACTAGTAGTAATGCACTTGTTACTAGTAGCAATGCACTTGTAGTATGTAATGCACCTGTTACTACTCATACAGACTCATGGTTCGTCTTCGTTTTCCTCTTCAGTGCCAGGAATCGCATCCCGCTGGATGCGTCAGAGCCCATCCCGGACGTGACAGAGAACGTTTGGAACGGGAAGACGTCACCGTCAGAACAGGCGACGTGATGGCCGGATGGTTTTGAAGATTACTTTTTTGTTTGTTGTCCATTTAACTGATCCAACTAGATTTTGGATGCATGATGTATGTATGATCTATTCTTGTAATTATTGTGGATTTAGTTCATCTTGCTGATTTGTTTCCTTACGCTTGGCCCTTTTGAGCATGTTCAACCCCTCTTGAAGACTGGACGGGGAGTGCTTTGCCCTATAGAGATCCCCTAGAGATCCCATTAGTTGTCAAACTGTAGGTGAAAGGATAAAGTTACCAGGGCGGGATGTGCATGGTGAGGAACTCATGAGGAATCTTATGTTTGCAGTACTTGCCGCTTGCCCACTTTGGATCCTTCTGAGGAGCTCATGTTTGGGAGCTCCAAATTAGTTCCGAACGCAGAGGAGAACCTCCTCGCAATGTGTGATCGACGAGTGTCCAAGCATGCGTGTCTGATCAAAACGCTATAGGATTTTTGGAGAGGCCATGTGATCGGGTTGTGATCAGGTGTTAGGATGCGACTCATATATGTTCCTGCAGGTGTATTTCTTCGGATGCGACCCGGCCGGGTAGACATGCATGAGGACAAGAACACATGTGGCCCCCCCAGGCCGGGTGGTGTAGGCTCCTCTTAAGGTTGAGAGTCTGTGAGTTGGTTTCTGAGTTGAGACATCAAGCTATTGAGTAAGAACAACCAACAAGAGCCGTGACTCGCAAACATGATGCCATCCCAAAACCCCGTTGTAAAGGAAGGTTATGTATTTGTATATTATACCCCTAGGGCTCCAAGTACCTCCTCAGAGGGTATTTGAACCATCCAAAGCCACCGCAATCACCTTCTCAGAAGGTTCTTGGAGCCCTAGGGCACAGTATGTGCTTGGAGCCCTTCCGACAGGTCATTTTGGGCGAACTAACAGGTGGTTTCTGGGCACCGAACTTGGTCTCCAAACGATTTTGGGAGGGTCCAGGTGACAGCAACATGGTTGAGTTCTAGGCCAGTACTATTAGGTTGGAGGCCATCGCTAGTAGGTTCCTTAAGTTTCCTCTGTAACTATTGTTCCTTGACATGTTATGGATCTGATTGTTTGAACATCTTTGAGCGACAAGCCCGCCACAGGCTGTGCCACCAGAGGCGGAGCAAGTGGCCCGGCCGGTGCAGGACTCGGGTTGGGACGTAGAGGGTCACCTATACCCAGTCAGTGGATCAGGTGGATCAGTTTCCCCACACGGGACCCAACAGGTGGACTGTTTGTTAGAAGCTTGTTTGGTCCAAAAACAAAAGCATAGTTCAGACACTCTCAGACACTCTATGGCATATATATATACATATATCCTACATTGGGGATCAATTGGGGGTGGTTACTGATCAATGCATGCATGGGTAAGAGACATGTTGCCCAGTGAACACAGGGATCCACTGATCCACTTGCAGCAGTTGATCTCCGCTGCTGAAATCACGAGAGTTCCTCTTTGACCTGGTGAAATCACTTTTCTGTCCGCTTGCCGATGATTAGAAAGAGGGTGATGGGTGGTTGTTACTCTGGATGGACAGTGTATTGCCACTTGGTCATTTGCCAAACACTTAGTGCCAATGCTCCAAAAAAATGTGATCTAAATAATATGGTTTTGCCTAAATTGTTTTTTCATGTACCCTATGGGTAAATCACCACCTGGGGAACAGTTTTTAGTTTTTTTTTTCAGATTCCCTCAAGCAAATCCAAGATAGCAAATCCTCCTTTGGCTCCAAGATGACACATCCACAATATCCTTTTGCAACGTGCGGCTCCATGGAGTCCAAAGTCCAAAGCTATTTGAGACATTTTATGGTGGCTCACCAACATGGTTTTCTATGGTGTTTCTTTCTATAAAGCACTGTTTCCGTAGCCTGGCTCAAGTTGCCGCAGCTTCCCTGCCCATGGGGAGGTTGTGTTGGTCTGCCCAGGGACCTACTGCTGACTTGGCCTTGCTCGGATCTGTTAAGGACAGACATGAAGTTGGCTCTCAGCTTCACGATTTGTTGTTGGATTTTACGGGGACAGGAATTGTCTGATGACTACGACTCTTTGCTGGAGGAAGTCTCTGAAGCGACAGAGGCACTCCGGGATGTTCGTCTCAATACGGCTCCCGTGATTTCTTTGGATCATGTCGCGGTACCTCGTCAGGGGACAATGGCTGCGACTCCACGCGTCAACCTCTTTCGGAGCCCGACAGCAGCCATGCATGGTTCCGTACGAGATATGCTTGGTGCAAAGGCATCGACAGTGGTTACTTTACCGCAACAAGTGCCACAGACTCTACATCGACTGCAGATTGGCTGGCGCTTAACCATGCAAAAGCTGGCGTATCCTGTGATTATGAACTTGTTGAGGCAGTGACGGACAAAGGCCCTCGGCTTCATCTTGAATCCACTGGAAGGTCTCACGTATGGTTATTTGGCAGGTGCGGATGCAGCAGCAGTTTATATCCTCAATACGGCTTCGTGCCGAGATTGATTTGGGCCAAAATGTCTGTAGTGGACTGTGAATAAATGTGCTCAGAGCAACCTTGGTTTGTTCCCACGGCATCATCGACAACAGGCAGTCGGAACAGCTCCCATTACGCTCGTGTATTGGTTTTTCTATATAGGATGCTGCCGAGGGCTAGTGGGGTTGTGAATTTATGGTTTGCAATGACAACCTGGCAAGTGGTAGTCAGCGCGTTCATCTTCGTACTGTAGAATCAGGTTACATCATGCCGACCTTGTATACAGGACGCTATATCAGAACTGGACAGCCCTTGTGGAAGTCAGCCGGGCCTCATTGATTCGACGGCCAACATGACGACGTGACTATGCCGCGGTTGCCAAAGGATCCTTGCGAAGGGGCAGCCACGACATCGCATCTCCATCTGCCGAATTCTTGGGTCAGTGGGAACATCAAGTGACTATTTGATGGGCAATGGGCGAGGTCACAAACCAGGCAGCTGAAGCACAAAGGCAAAAACATTTTTTCGGCCGTAGTAATTCAGGTCTTGTCCACAAACCGTGGGTCTGCGGCAGAAAACTCACAACCCAGCACCCACGTGGGAGCTGGCGGATGATTCTATAGGGGCTCTGAGACTTCAACTGTTGACCAATGCCCGATCATTCTAAAATGTGCTTCAGAAGGAAAGAACCTCGCAGTTGAGGAGGAATTATACCAGCATAGACCCCAAACAGTTTCGAACGATTCCGTAGTCAAAAAAATTCTTGGTACGCCCTACCTTCCCCCCCAAGGGCAAACTGCTTCATCAATGATTTTGTCGGCATCGACAGCGCTACACACTCCCCACCAGCTGTGCCACCCCTGTCCCATCACCTTCTCCGTGTGTGGCCTCTGTCGACAGAGTGACAGGATTTTTGAAATAATAGCATTTAGCATTAATTTTGGCAGTGGCAGTGGCTGTGGGCCCCTGGCGCCTCCAAGCAAAGGTGTTCGTAGTTGGTTCTTGCATTTTTCTCTTCCTTCGTTTCATGGCGGACATGGCGGCAGCGGAGCCGAAGTGGGAGTACTGTTTCTTCAATGACGCAGTGACGCGTGACGCCTGAAGCGTTGCGGGACCTGAAACTCAACCCGCTGCACTTCTTCCATAGCTGCACTGCAAACCAGAACCAGGCTTTCGGCTAGCATTATGGATGCCCATGCTGGAAGAGGTCCATGGCCAATGATTTTCAGAGGCGGCAGTACTTCCGAGCCAAGTACCAGTGCGTGCGGGTGATGGCCGACCCGGCCAGCAGCCCCCACGGCATCATCTTGAAGCATGAGGTCTATGAGGAATGGCTCTACGCGAAGCCCATCAGGCCCGTGAAGATCCATTGCGCGATTGCGATGGACAGATTTGACATGGAAGATTGCGTTGTGGACGTTGTGATAGCATCGTGGGAATTGGCGGCGAAGAAGTCGACCTGCATGACTGCAGATGTTGAATTTGTCCATGCATGGTCGCCGCTATCCTGTTTTGGCTTCAACACTTTGGCTGATGCTTCGGTGATTTTGCCAGGTTGCAGGACTTGGACGTTTATGAAGTTGCCACGCCGTTGGCAGCTCCATAGGCTGTGTTGTCTTCACCGGCAGCTGTCCTGTTAGCTGAAGCTTTGTGGGCGGAGAAGCACCATTCACTTCTTTTGTATTGATCCTTTCCCTCATTGTTTCTACACACACACTCTCTCTCTCTCTCTCTTGTAGCTTTGCCTAGTGACTTTACATCTGTTTTGTTTTGACTGCGCTCGTTGTGGTGCCGCGCGCATTTTCGGACATGGTGGTCACTTTTCGTGGCAGGCACAAGGGAAACCTCATGTTTTTGATGGTCCAAAAGTCGACTTTTCTTGACAGGCGCAAGGGATCGGAACGGTTTTACTTAACAAACCATCGGTCTTCCTTCAGAAGAACTCGATGGGAGACTGCATCGCCCTTCGGGACCCATCGATCCACCTGCCAGGAGCCGCCAGAGCCCTTGGGCAAGGCCAAAGCACGGAAGGCACCGGGTCCCTCGGAGACAGCGGCGGCACCGGAGACAGCGGCGGACCTGGTTTCGGAGCCGACGCGAAGGGGACGTGACACGAGCCTATTCAATCTATATAGGTACTTATACAAAGAATATGTGTATAACTATATAATGTCGACGTAGGATTAATCAACCCCGTTCAAGGTCAACAAGGTTTGAGATTGGAAGTTTTGGAGACCACATCCCCTTAATAAAGATGATGACCTGATGATGGATGATGAGATGAGGACCTGGACCAGATGATGGGTGATGGTTGATAGGATGGTGTGTGGATCATGAGAGTTTGAACCATGAGAACCATGAAGGGTCTGAGTGTATGGTCAGAGATCGGATAGGATTGATCAGAGAGCCATGCCAATTGGATCATTGCATATCAGAGCACGGAGGAAGGTGGAGGCTATTTGTGGTATCCATGGACTGGATGGTCTGATGACTGGTGGCCTGTGGAGGATTGGTACTTCCTTCCCACTGCAAGAGGGATCAGAGAGTTAAAGATGAGTACAATAGCATGGGCATTCCAGTATGGAATCGCAGATGGTGAGACCATGAGGCATTGGCTTGATAAAAGTGCCATTGTTGATTTAGCAGGCAATGAGTGGTGGAGCTGGGTTCATGGAATGTATGGTGGAAATGAGTTTGGGAACCTGCTGGGTGCACCATGGGTTGGTACTCATTGTGCATATTTACTATTGATGGAGCATATTTGGGCCCAAGCTATCGGTTTAGTGAGGTATTGAGCCATGGTGCACTTAGGAGAGGAGATGATCAATGAGCTTTTGAGCTTGGGTGGTATCATGAGAAGCCATGTGCTGGGCAATGTCTGGGTGATCATTGAGGGTATGCTGGGATTGGCACAACATGACTTTACGTATGTGTATGTGGACAAGAATGATGGGGTGAAGAGGAGATTCTTTATGAGTTTGGGGCATGATGGTGATCACCCGGGCCGCATCCGATCATTGGTGTATCTATGGTTGGATCATTCCATGGGTTCCATCAGGCTCTTTGGAGAGATTCCCCAGGTGGGGGGATATGGGCTATAGACCTGAAGAGCCATTGGGTGAGAGCATTCGAGATGAGTAGGATTGGTCCAATGCAATTTATTCACCAGTGCTATGGTTCCCTATGAGCCTGGGCAAGTCTTTCTTTATATGAGGTGGGTTCATATGAGCATGCTGATGGGCCCACATGAGAACCCACATGAGAACTGATGAGTTTCTCATGAGAACTCATAAGGTTTGCCATAAGTCTTTTGGATGATTTTCTTATGCCAGATTTGCAATTGGCTCTGCTTGGGGTATTGCGCTGTTTGTCGTGTCAGATTGGCCGTGGTGGAGGGGGTGATGGGCGTCGTGGCGTTGGTCGTTGGCACCGTGCTGGTGGGCCTGGTGGGCATGATGGTCTGTCTGGCTTTGGGCGTGGGGGTGGTGGTAATTCTTTTGGGTATGGGGAAATAGTTGTGTGGGTTGATTGGTCAGTGAAGGCCTTTGTGAAACTGTGCCGGGCTTGGGTCTGTGTGCCTCGGGGGGGAAGGCACTGTGGGGTTGCGGTGGGGTCGTGGTGGGCATGGGCTCGGGCATTGCCTCCGTGGGGCGCGGGTTGGGCACGGGCGGTGGGCTCGTCGGGGTTTCTTGGATGTTTGTTGGTGCGTTTTTTTGTGTTTTTCTGTGTGTGTGTGTGCGTGTGTTTGTCTATATTCTTTGGGGGGTTTATGAGAGGGTGTTCGTCTGGGGGTCGCCTTCGCCGTGTTGGCCAGGGATTTGCGGATTTGAGGGGATGGGTCCTTGTTGGGGTCTTGGTCTGGTCAGCTGGGTATGATTTGGATCGGCTGGGTGTGGGTTTTGATATATTGCTTTTTGGATTTGATGGTTTGTCGGGGATTTGCATATGGGTGTGTTTTTTTGTTTTTGGTGGGTTGGGAGGGGTGTTTGGGATGTTTTGTTTTGGTTGTCAGTGCGGCTGCGAATGGGATGGCTCTATGAGCTGCCCTCGGTCTGTGAGAGTTTCCTTGGTGCGGCGGTGGCTGCTCTATGGGAGGGATGGGGTTGCTGGCTTGCATGGTGTTGTTTTTCATGGGTTGGGTTGGTTCGCATGTGATGGTTTGTTGGCTTGTTTCGTGGGTGAATGGGCTGTGTGTTCTTGATTTGCTGTTTGCTTGGTTGCTTGGGCTGGGGCAGGTGATCTCCCGTGGGGTGGCATTTTGCACCCTGTGCGCTATGGAGGTGATGCGCGTGTTGACCGGCATGAGCAGGATCATGGGGTTGGATGGGGCGCCCATGATGATGGAGGCGATGAGCACCACGGCATTGGTCACCGGCACCACGCTGGCAGGCCTGATGGGCATGACGGTCCATCTGGCCCCGGGCACGAGGACAGTGGTAACCCTTTCAATTATGAGGAAACAGCTGTATGAGCCCATCGGTCAATGAAAACCTTTGCGAAACCACGCCAAGCCCGGGCCCATGCACCCGGGCAGGAAGGCACCACGGGATCGCAACGAAGCCATGATGGGCACGGGCTCAAACATTGCCACGGAACGCAGATCGGACACAAGCGGCGGGCCCAGAAGGGTTTCCTTGGCTCCAAACGCGTTGGCGCCCTTGAGCAATGAGGAGCAGCAGATTCAGCAGAATTGGCATGGAACCACCGTGACTGAAGGACTTTGTTGCAAAGCCTGATGAGGTCAAGGCTAACAAGATGAAGTGTATGCTTGGATTCTCAGATCAGGTTCCTGTATGGGTGAAAAAGTGATCAACTAAGGCTGTATTTGCGGGCCATGAGACCAGGACACATGGGAAAACCATCAAAAAGATTAGGAGGGACCTTGAAGATGAGCTGAACCAACAAGCCCATGAGAAGAAATTGGTGGATGAGGATGAGGCTGAGGACCATGCAGCATTGAAAGATCAGGAACACAATGAGGACCTTGAGGCATTGGATGATCAGAAGAAGCAAGATTGGCAATTGGCGACCACGGAGGATCAAAAGGATTTGGGAAGAGCTCATTTGACTATCAAGAAGGACTCAGCAAGTGAGAAGATGAAGATTACCTTTGAGGCCCATCAGCTGGTGATCATTTTTTCAACCCTGATGAGGACCCCATTGGACATGTGGGCAAGGGGGTGCTCATAGTACCTGGGCAACATGCGAGATTGGACAGCATTGATGACAAAGGCAGGTGGATTGAGGATGAATCATTCAACTATTTGGGAGAGATCAAGCTGCATACGAAGGGAGAGAGTGCCAGGAGGGCATTGGAACGATGGGTCAAGATCAGAAGGGATCATCCTCATTTGTTGGAGCACTATGCTGTTTATTCTCAACCATCCTCCAATCAGGACAATATCATTATGTCATGGGTCATTGCAAAGCATGGGAGGATGTATCCAGCATGCATCTATCAAGATGATGTATGCAGCTGTATGCAGCCCATCAGCTACAGTCTATCAATCCTCCAAAGATGACAGCTATGATGCAATTGACAGAGACAGACTTTAGCTATGTGTTTAAAAGCTTGATGAGGAAATCTGTTGATGAGATCAGTGCAAAGAGGGAGGAGGCTATGGGCACAAGTGACGTGTACCAGATGGGCATGAAGGATATTGCGCAATGCTGGGAATGGCTGAAAGAAGCCATGAGAAGGAATGGGTACTGAGAGGGCTTAGGAGGAATGGGCTATGAGGCCAGGGAATCATGAAATGGTGTGGTGATCAGCCATGGGCAAAGGATATGCCATTGGGAAGCAGCAGGATTCATGAGGGATGGTTGAAGAATAGATTGGTGCATGTCCAGAAGAATGGGGTTATCACACCTCCCAATTGGACAAGGATGTATCATTCAGATCAGGATTGGTACAAGGGAGATGGGCATGGATGACGAGGCAAAGGAGAAAAGGCAGAAGCAACATGAGAAGAAGAAGAATAGGAAAGCTGCATTGGGTGATGAGGAGAAGGCCATCAGAGATCAGCTGCAGGAGAAGAGCAGGCATGAGGTGATGAGTGCAATGGTGCCATCAGCTACCAGGAAGGGAGCAGCGCAGAATAAGGGCAAGAACCAGAAGAAGAAGATGAGTTGGGTGAAGAAGGTCAAGAAGCATATGCAAAAGAACATGAAGAAAAAGGCATTGGGGGATGTGGCCAAGGAAAAGCTATCAAAGAAGAAGACCAGCATGGGCGCCCCCAGATGGATGGGAGGGGAAGGTCAGGGTCATCAGTGAAGTGGCTAAAAGTACTCTGTATGGGAGGCAGGGTGAGGCATTGGGCCAAGGGGAGAATGATGTCCATTTGCTATTGGAGGAGGATTGGAGGAATAAGGGTGATAGGAAGGCATGGGTCAAGAAGGAATACGTCACCAAGGTAGGTGGGGATGAGAAGATTTGGAGATGGCCCCAGTTGAGCATGAGCAGGGATGAAGCTGGAGATGCTCTATGAGGCTGGTCTATTGTCTATGGACCTTGAGCTCATTGATGTGAATGGGGGTGTGGAGGTGGTATCAGAGAAGAGCATCAAGGAGAATGAGGTGGATATGCAGACATTGGTTTTGGGATGGGCGCTCATCAGGTGTGTAGCCAATGAGAAGAAGCTGGACGAGTTGGGCCCTGTGGGATCATGCATCCCTCTATCAGCTATGGCCTAATTTTCTATCAGAACAATGAGTATGGTCTAAGGAGCTGGTGGCACCATGGGAGAAGATATCCAAGGTTGTCATGAGGCTTTTTGCTGATGAGGGCAAGCTCTTTTTTGATCACCATTCCAGCTGGGGGGTATTGGACACTGCTGGTGCTGGACATGAGGATGGGTGTGCCTTTTGATAGGCAGGTGAGGTACTATGAGACATTGGTCCAAGGAATGTGGTGAATTGGTATTGGCTGCATTGCTCCAATTTGGTATCATTGATGAGAAGTTCTTGGATAGGCAGCCCCTACAAAGGGTGAATGAGGTGGTGAGGCAAAAGAAGGGATCCATTTGTATTGGCCTATATGGAGCAGGAGGCTGCTGAGGCCATGGGGTATGGCCCAGCAGGGATTGGATGGCCATGGGTTGCTGCCCAGAATTGGACTTCCAGGATGAAGGATGGCCATGGGTTGCTGCCCATAACTGGACCTCCAGGATGAAGAAGATGGGTGAGCAATTGGAGATTGAGAGGGAGAAGAGGATCAAGGCTATGAGGGGGCAGGGCGAGAAGGATCAGATGAAGATTGAGTTGGATGGGATTGGGGTATGTGGCAAGTGGGTGTATGGAATGCAATGTATGGAAATGCACTGCCTATGGGGGGAAGAGACTGGGCAGGAAGATCTCACATGAGTGTACATTGGCTGGGATGAGAAGAAGAAGCAGAATGATCAGAAATGATTGATGAATGAGAGGGTCAGCATGGGAAAAGGGTGGATCAGAATGCTATATCTCAAAGAGATGGCATGAGACAAGGGTGGATTGGAAGATCAGTTTCACCATGGACCAAAAGACATTTAATACTAGAAAGGTAATAACTAATAAAGGAATAGAACGCCAATTATATTTTTGTTCGTGGGGAGCTGGGCTTGATTAATAGGGGTGTTTCTGGCAAGGAACAAAATTATTAGGGGGAGGTTGCAGGGGCTTATTAGTTTAGTATCGGAGGCTCCAGCTGGGCTTGATTAATAGGGGGGGGTTGGTTAATCCCATGTGCGCATTATATATAGATATGTACATGGGTGATCATGGGTTGAGACATGTTGTATAGGGCTATAACTGGCTATACCTAGATGACATGATGTTTCTACGCAACTGGTACTTACTTCTGCAAAAAGAATGCTTGTACACACCACTCACTCATGCGGCTGGGTCCTATAGGCGTGTGTCCTTGCTGTCCTGAGAAGGCGTTTTAGGCTCCGGTTCCTTGGGCCAACCGAACTGCCGCAGGTTGGCAAGCCGCCCGAGGTGCGCGAACGAACTGGGGGGGATCGGGTGACCGAAGTTCTCTTAACTAAAGGGATCTCTCTGGAAATAACCACACACACTCACACGTGAACAAGTTTCAGGGTGGTTCCGAGGTGGTGAAAAAACACACACAATACAAACATGATCATGGACAGCAGTGGCCCATGGATATATTGTTTTTTCGACAGTTAGGGAAACAAATGTGAGACAGTCACGGTATTCACCAGGGTTTGGAGGGTTCTATGAGGAGTGAGGAAGATGACATGCCAGAGGGACACCTTCTCTGAATCAACGAGCCAACCCCAAGTTTTATGTTTGTTTGTTTGTTTTTTGTTTTTTTTCAGGTGCTTGGCTGCATGGTTCTTAGATCGTGAAACCCAGTCTCGGGAAAAGAAAAGCACTGCCAGCAGTTCCCATCGCCCGGTAATCCACATACCGAACCTCAGAAGTTACGACTGGACCCTCTGAGCCTAATAGCGACCTCAAGTACCTCAAGTTCGGTTTGTCGATCCTTAAGGATCAACTTCTGGACGATCTTTTGGGTCTGAAGCGAAGGGCTGAAGGGCTCCGTTCGTGGCGCAGTCCACTGGAGACTGGGGACGGCTCTCTCGTCAACCCGAACTCGTGCGTCGCGTCTCCGCTTCGCCCAATTCACCTCACCGGGGCACCCACCTCACCCTCTTCCTCCGTGCACTCTCCATGGAGGCATTGAAATCGATGTTTCTACTAGGCACGGACTTCCGATCACCTTAAGATGAGTAACACTGCGAGCTTTCGTCCTTGGGGTCACCGAACGATCCGTGTCGCCAGGAAGGACCACCGAAGCCTGAACGGCGCGTTTGCATGGTGTTGCTGCGTGCCTCGGGAGCAGGGCAGGAGACCTGCAACCAGGCCGGGGGGGGTTGGCGGCGCGAACTCAGATCGCCAGCGGACCGCGAAGTCACCCGGTTTCACCGGGTGAGGACTTCCCCAGCGAATGGACGCCAGGGGCGCCACCCTTGCCGCCCGCATTCGGTGTTGTCCGCGTAGTTTGCTGATTTCAGTTTCTACCAGGTTCTACCATCTCCAAAACATTTGCGTAGGTCTTGATGACAGCACTGGTGTTGTAGGCAGCGCCGTGGAAGAGACACCACGAAAAGATAAAGCGGTAAATCTTCAAAGTTTGACAAGGGAAGAGAACACATCCTCAGAAGGTAGTTACCATCCCCAAACCCACCCCAACCACCTTCTCAGGAGGTAGTTGGAGCCCTTCAGGAATGTTGGAGTCCTAGGTAGTTGGTAGTAGGAGGTAGTTGGCACAAAAACCAAACACCTGATATCACCTGACTGAGGATCTTAGACCACGAAAACCAAGCGCAACAACGTTCTACCCAACAAGGTACCCCCTTCAAGCACATCAGCCACAACCACAACCCTGGAGGGTTTTTGGGCAAGCTCATGGCTCTTCTGCGCAGAACTTGCGGAGCAGAAGGAAAGCGCGTGATCAAATGGCTGCAGGCAGGCTGCAGCCTCAATGAAAGCATCGTTTGTGAGCTCTTCTTCGAGCATGCCGTTGATTCCGCTCCACGGTGAACGCTGACAGGACTTGTACTGCTCAACCACGCTTCATTGCGTTGTTCCAAAGAGTTTCACTCTTTTCAGGTGCCTCATCAGGCTGACGATCATGGGGTCGCTACAGGTGCCTCTCATCGTATTCATGAAGAACAGGATCAGGTGAGCCTGTATACTACATCAACCAACTCCTATTTGATGGCACTGCCGCTGTTGATGACACGCGGGCGCGCTTAGCTCAAGGAGGATGTCCTTGAGCTGTATGTTTGGAATGACCCGCTGGGAATTTGAGGCCCTGCTGGGGCTCTTTTTCAATAGGGCCACCTTCAGCGCGCCAGGGATGTGCAGACGGCCGGCTTGCAGGTGTCTCTACATAGATGAGGCTAGTAAAGTGTTCCCCGTACTTCCAAGGACGAAAATTAACTTCAACATGGATGAATGTCGAAGTATTACTTGAGACCTGAAATAGATATGTTGTTTTACCTTATGTATAGGATGCCATTTGGGAAGCTATCGCACAATACTTATTGTTTCACCACTTTGCTCTACTCAGCTGGTTGTCCGGTGTCAGTTGTTTGCCCCTACTTGCTGACTTGTGCCTGCTACTCGGTTTGTTCTTTGCCGTCCCTTGTTGGTGTTTATTACTTTGCTCTCTTCTGGTTGCTGTTTCTCGTTTGTGTGCACCTGTCCCAAGACTGTGGTGATGCGCATATGGCAAAGGATGCATTGCGGGGAAGGGGTCATGTGAAAAGGGTTGTTGCGGGGGGAAGAGTTCTCCGACAGTGCTCAGAACAGCGCTCAGAAGTCAAACACATTCCAGCGATTCGGGCAGTAGCAGTGCAACACGATAGACATTTTGAGTTCGAGGCTAGGTTCTTCTTCGAGGCTAGGTTCTTCTTTTACCGAATACCATTTGTGTGGCCATACCCACAGTATTTACAGGGTTTTGGTGTGCGGGCACTGTTTTGAGTGCTGTTGGAGCACTGGTCCCTTGCCCCTTGCTTCCTTCTTCGCCTCTTGTGACCGATTTTGCAACTTTTCTAGAGTTTGTTAGCTGTCGCTGTTTGCATGGCGCAACCCTGTGTCACTGGCCTTACATTACTGTATACTTAAACAGCCTCTCCGCTGTTTGCATGGCGCAACCCCGTGTCTCAAAGTCTTGGGTGCTTCCACGGCTGGTCCGGTCCGATAGTATGTATATATATACATTATATTATATAGCCCCACTGGAAGAAACTCGCATTCAGGATGCTTCAAACGGTGCCTCTTTCCTCAGGACTATCGCTACAACGGCCTACACCAGGCGGGTGGGTTTCTTGCTTGCTGGCTTAGGGCCGCCATCCTGGGGCCATCCTTGACTTTTGGGATTCCACCACCCACCTCTCTTTTAGTGGGTGGTGGCTACCAGAAGGCCAGTCATACCTTAGCAGGCCTTTCTCATTTGCTCAGTGGAAATCCTGTGGATCCATTCCCTGTGGATGTGATGTGCGTGTTCAGGCCAACGCAACAGGTTTCTTCAACAAAGCCTAGAGGCACAACATGGAGAGTTCCAAAGGTACTCTACAGCAGTGTTGACGGCACGTTCTTGAGGTGCTAAATACCTGCCAGATACTCCCTGAGACTGGCATATGACTCCCATCAGTTGGGGTGGTTGAACAGGGGTCAATTGGGCGGCAAATATTCCATACGACATACATGGTGGGGATGTTATACTACCTGTAACAGTTGGTAAAGAAGAACATGTTTGAGAAAGGCCTGCAACTGAACCATCATCATCCACTGGGCCCAGGGATTAGGATATACCGTATACCTAATATCCATGGAGTTTGCGCTTGTGTTCATCGGAGCAACCCAATCCACCCACAAATCCATAAAAACACTGGGCAGTACGGTGCCTTTCCTACCATTTATTCGGGATCAGATGTCAAATCCGGTGGAACAATCGGCCTTTGATCCAGAGTGTTCGCTCGGTCAACAATCTCTCGCTGTATCGAGTATGGATGGTGCAACAGGTGGAAAAGATGTTTAAAAAAACAAAGGCAAACGGAGGGGTGGATGCTTTCTTGAATGCCGTCTTCGACTCTCGCACGCGCGCATGGTGGACGCGCGGCAGGGCAAACCCATGTTCAAGGCAGAGAATGGTGCAGTGATCTATTTCAATAAGCTTCTCAGTTGCATGTAGTGGGGTCTTTGAGGGGCGGGAAACATATAAACATCAGTGCCCCGTCGTCATCGAACCCGGCGACAAGCGGTGGACATATCCCACACACTCCATGGGACTGACATACAGTATGGCAGTGGGTCATGGCACCGGCGGAACATTTTTTATAGCTTCTTTGTTACTACTAGCGTGGCACCTGTTACTAGTAACAAGAAGCTAGTCCTACCCTTTTCCCGGGTGAACAAAATCGATCACCAGACGTCAACCTACCACGCTGAACGGAGCATCGGGTGACTGGACCAGCGGCTGTGGGTCATGGCACCCGCACCCCAAAGTCTTGGTACGTTGACCATGTCCACTAGTCTGTTCATGTTCGGTAGCGAAAAAAACCCAGGGGTACCCCGATGTCATGACCCACAGCCGCATACATCGACCCCTTTTCTCAAGTATAGCGCTTGAATGTGGTTTCAACCAGCCGCTCCCAGTCACAAGTGCATCGCGTCGCTAGTAACAACATGCCTTTCTACTAACAAAAAAATACAAAAAAACACCACAGTTTCCTTTCACCGAATTGAGCAGATGTGCCAGCATATATAACACCACAGAGACTCGGCACCTCGCCGCGCACCATGGAAGTGCTGCATTTTTTTGTCTTCGCTGTAATGTTTTCTGTTGAGAGGGACCCATCAACAGAGACTTTACATTCTAGATTTTTTGGGTCTATAACGGAATGTCGTGGAACAAATGCAAGACATGTCTTTGAGATATTAAATGTCAAGTGCCAAGTCCGCAAGTCGAAAGTCAAGTCTTGCAGGAAGGACTTGAGAAGTTCTTGACAAGAGACTGGTGTAGAAGTATTTGACAAGTACCGGGTCAGAAGTATTTGAGACGTAATTAACGGAGAGCTTTGTGTCAAGAGGTTAAGATGCGAGGACTATACATGCAAGAACACAGACAAAAGAGATCAGATACAAATGGCAGAAACTAGCGACAAGATATATGCTAGACAAATGTAGGGGAGGGACATGCATTTCTTTCACAGGTGCTGGATGGGCCTCGATGCTAGAAGAAGTGGCCTTGATGGCACGCCCTTCGCCGGAAAGACCGGATCCGCGTCCAAGCCATTTCATGCACATATACGCAAGACATGGAACTTCTTCCCTTTCCCAGTACCTTTCTGCTTAGCCCAGGTTTTGGAAGATGAACAAGGTCTTCAAAACAACTGGCCACTGGGCAAGGAACAACGGCAGTTTGTGGTGAAGCCTCCCAAGCTGTCTGATGGCTCTGTGAGCCTCCCGGGCTTTACCTTTGAATCTCTGAGCCTCCCGGCCTCCCCGACTGGAGATCCTCGTTGAACAGAATCCTCCAGGCTACACTCTCCATACCTTCTGGACAAGCTGGTGGATCCCTTTGGAAACTAGACCCGGATCTTCCAACTGCACAAGAGATTCTGCCTTTTGATCCAAAAGGATCCAAAAGGCAGACATATTTTGCATGTTTGGAGGATGAAACTTTTGGCAGAAACCATGCTGGAAGGCGAACATGGCCATTCATGACCATTCCCGAACTGGGAACCTGGTTCTTCAAAGTGACCTTTGTTGATATCCTGGTTTGAGGTTACAAAAGGGCCTCCTCAAAGGTCACTGGTCGGAAGATGTAGGACTTCCAAAATGATTACTTTGAAGAAGCTGGCCGGTACAAACCAACAATGAACTGTTCTTGGGCTCCTTGCCACCCCTTTAGCTGAAGACAGGTTTTGCTGGTGGAAGTTGGTGAAGTCACCAAGTTTGGGCCCAATCGTTGGTCATTCCAAGTTTCAGTTCTTGAGGGTCTTTCGGTTGCAAGCGTTTTGACATGTTTTGAACCATTCTGGGGTAGAACTGCATGAAGTTACTCACCTCCCAGAAGCATGCGGTGTTCGATGCACGAACCCAGAAGCATGGTAGCTTGATCAAGTTCGGAGATATACTCTATCTAGATTCCTGGCCCACCGATTTCATGGAAACATCCCTTCAGAAGTATTGTTTGACTAAGCCCAGACACGACTAATGGGACTGCCATAGGACTGCCGCCCGATTGACCCCTCAAACCACCCCAATGTAGGCATATATGGCATACATGGAGTGTCTGGGAAGGATGTTACACCCAAACCATGGCTCCAATGCTTCACCATGGCCCCTTGACTCGAGTGCTTAACAAGTCGCTCGTGCTTAACGGGTGAAACCGGCGGAAGGCTGGATCTACTGCACCAAAGACTCCAACGGTTCCTTCCCGGCGGAGGGCCGCTGGAGCTCGGAGGGCACCAGCGACCCCAACGGCGCCCGCGGGCCCGGACGGGTGAGGACATCGGGTGGGGTGGGAGCGTTTGGGGAGGAGGGCTCCAATTGGAAGCAGTTCGATAGATGTTCAATGATGTTCATGTCATGCGGTCGGAGGGCTCAACTCTGTGACTTCAACATGCTGTGTATCAAACGGGCATAAGTCGTTCAACCCTGGTAGATGTGGGTCAATACCCTGTAGCGAACGACCAAAAAATATTACAAGTCGGTCCGGTTGGTGTCCGTTCTTTTTTTCTGATGCCATAACCATGCCATGACCCACAGCCGAATGGACTCCGACAAAATGCCTGCGATTATAATCGCCCGTGGTTTGCGCGGACGTCCTGTCTTTGGAAGAAGGTCGAAGAGAAACATGGGCAGCCTCGATGTTTACCATTGTCTGCCTACCTCGGGGTGAGTTATAAGATGTTTTAATGGTCAACGCAGGGTAAGTCTTCCATAATATGGATCCCTAGGGATCCGAAAAGACCCTCTGAGGTACGGTGATGTGTTCGACACTGAGACAGGTAGGTCTGGAGGGTCGCATATAGATCGTCATTAGGCAATGATTTCTGCCCAGCTTCATTGGGCAAGATCGCCTAAGCACGGACAAAGGGTGCCTAAACACCCATGATAGGCAGATATGTTTGCCCAAGAAGAGGTTCTGAAGTTCTATATGCGGCTACTGGCGATGGGCTCCAACCTACATGCAATACATGGAGTATCGGTTCGTGTTTGGGTTTGCTTCTTTCCTTCAACTTCTCTTCTTCACCAAGGCGGGACGCCCTCCGAGCCTCCTGCTGATGGACGAGCACCTGGGCTCACTGCCATTCGCTGGTGCCGAGCGTCCCCCCCAAAGTGTTGCACTTCGAGACGCGGTGCTCCCTGAGACGCCGAAGCACTTGATATAGTCCTCAGCAGTGCGGAGCGGGCACCAAGTTTGATCAGGCACGTCTTTGCTTTTTGTTCCCCATGGAGTTATTGGCTCATCTTCACGAAACCAAGCTCTGGCTAGGTCAGTCATACAAGCTCTAGGTGTTCTGCCGCCCTGCAGTGCCAATTCATGTTTACACTCCAAGTCCCCAAAAGCAGCATGCACATGGCCTCCAAAAGCAGCATCTTTCGTGTGGTGGGTCCAACTTCTTCGGAGTGCCTGGGGCCGTTTTGTCGCCGTTGGGAAGTGCCCGGGCCATGTGTAGGCCCACTGCGGTGTTCGGGTGGACGCCGAGTCTTTAAGGCCCCAACCCCGCGTGGTGGACGAGGAGAGTGGTGCACTGGTCCTCGAAGATGGACAGAAGGCCCCGGCGCATCGCCGCGGCGGAACCTTCCTTGGTGAGCTATGAAGAGCGGAAGTCCCCCTGGAAGTGCTGAAACATCGTTGTACATGGCGCCAAGTGTTCTAGATCAGATATCAAACACCACACAAATTCCTTTGTTGACTTCATTTCAGCCATTGAAAGAAGAAAGATGAAAAACATCATCCTGGTGTGCAGACCTAGTTGCTACATCGCCGCCTTGGCCAGGAAAAAAAAACAGCCCAAGAATCCTCCAAGTGGGGACACCCCACTATAGGAGTGAAAGTTAACCTTTGTTTTCCAGGGAAACGGCTCAGGAGTCCACCCTATATGTCTCAGATAAACGATGAACAATTATATATTATATAATGTGGTGGACTTTCACAGCCTTTGGGAACTGAACAATCACCCGTTCTTTTTCGGTGGAGCGTCTCAGTTGGATTCTATATGTGACTCTTTCAGGAATCCATCCCATTCTCATGGTCCAGGTACCTCCTTTTCAGGTCGAACATGGGTTTGGTCCAAAGTCGAACATGTTCCTGGACCCTGAGAGTGTGTTTCCTCCATGTGAACGGTCAAACCCACGTCCCCCTCGGCCCAACGGCCGCGGATCAAGCTGTGTGGCTCTGGGGTGCGGAGTTCAGCCATGGCGCCAGGATTGAAGGTGGGGAGTCAACTCATCTGGCTGGTTCCGGTGGGGAGTCAATTTCCGCAGATGGGCAGAGATAGGCAGATGCAGTTGGTTGAAAGATACGAAGGGCGGCATCAACAAACATGAGGTTTTTGCTGTAGAGTTCACAAAGAGGGATCCCAACCCCAAGCATGCGTCGCTTGGAAAAGTCTGGACCATTGGATCAACTACTCATTTTGACGAGTATACCGACTTTTGACGCTGTTCTGCATATAGCTATAGCCGTGAAGGGCTGCGTTGCAACAGTCAAGCGAAGCAAATCGGAATACTATTAGGTGGTTAGGTTTGCTCCAACAACTCGAGATTTCAGCCGAGAGTTTGGGTTTGGTATAGAAAGTAGTAAATTAGGCTTCAGACTTTTTAAGGTCAAAGAAAACACCATGAATTGAAGGTTCCCAATTCAGACCACTTTGTTTGATGTATAGTTACAGTACACACATGTTTAGACCATGTAAAGAACTATTCCAGTCCCATTGATGGTCTGGGGAAGGTTCATCCAGCATGGCTGTTTTGAGTTTCCTTCGGACACAAGAGTCATTTTTCTTGGGCCTTCAGACAATACTAGTTACTAAAGGTGTGAACTGATACCAGGGAATGGGGGCACCCATCTAAGACATCAACAACTGGGCCCATGACAGGCCTGTGATTTTTGTTGGCACCCTCCAGGAAAACCACCCGATCGGAGCACTAAAAGATCGGAGCAAAGAGACGTTTCAGTGGCACTACTTTACATTCAGGTTTCACCTCACCTCTAACCGGACACGTTGGCAGATTGGCCCATCTATGTTGTAAGCTCCTCACCTGGTTCCAGAAAAGCCTTACTAAACCGTCATGTGCTCCCAATCTACCTGTGAGTGGATTGAGAAATTACACTGCGAAGCCCCCGTTCGTGCTCAGGTCGAGCCACCCATGAAGCCAGAGGCCGTGTGCGACGGTGCCATGACTGAAAGATGCGCGGGGGAGGAGGTAGGGTGGTTCTGATTTTCCTTATAGCCTTAGCGTTAGCGTTCCCCTTAATATGTGTTGTTGGTCCCAATTTCTCCAAGCAAATCCAAGTCTGACATGAACTCAAGTCCTACCATCCAGTCATCCACTGCTCTTTCGTGTTTTTCTCCAGTTCGGGCCCTGGTGGTTTGTGAGCCAAATGTGAATCATTTCAGCTGAGAAGTCTGAGAAGTACCAACCGCCATGGATCCGGGGAAGTTGGGTAAGAACAACCAAAAGCAGATACTACCCCTTGGTCCCATTTAAACACTAAGTGGTAGCCAGGTGGTTCCAGTTCAACGAACAGCGAACTGAAGACCTGCCTCACCTGGTTGACCTGCCTCTTGGCTGTCTGGGATCCCTTGTGGCCACACAAAACTGGACCCGGACGTTGGAAAGCGGCACAACCCTTTTTCGACCAAAAGCTGCGGCTTCGGCGGGCAGAAAGGCCGTGCCTCTGCGGATCACCGTTTGGTTCGGTGGATCCCGTCGATCGGAACAGAACCGGCCCGTCCAAACGGGTACCCGTTGACGGTGGTCAAGTGGGGGTGGTTTCAATGTTTAAAGAATGGGAAAAGCCAAAACACCCTTAGAAGTCGTGGCCCAGCATGAATTATTGAACAGCTGGGGCCATCCCGCACAGAAGCAAACTGGTTTTGGCTATAGGGTTTGACACCTCGAAAACCAGATCAAGCATGTTAGAACATGGTCTTTGACTTCCAGGCGAAATAGATTAAATAGATGAAGCGCAGCTTTGGATTTGATGGATCACCATGGATCGCCCAGTTTTTGCAGGCTCGACGAATTAGGACTCGAATTCGCTCGGTTCAAGAAGAAGACAAAGACGTAGGTGATCATTAGGGCCAGAATTCGTTCGCTAGCCCAAACCTGGAATCCTGCTCCTTCCGCCCTTAACTGGTACGTTTTTGTAGTCTGAAATCCATTGTAAAACAGTGGTTCTTCGGGCTAAGAAGCATTAACATCATTAACATATCATAATATCATGGTGCTTGGAATCCTTGGGTAGCTGATTACTAACACCTGGCCCCACAAACACGTGCATGACGTCCATGTCCGTGTCAGCATGAATCTCGACCATCCGTCACCGTGGTCTCCAGCACGAAGATTCTGAGGAGCCAGCGCGCTTCTGCCAGCGACTTGGCGCTTCTGCTGGGCGATGCGCAGGTTTGGTTGGGCCGAAAGGACGCACTCCACTCCCCGCAAGATAAGAGCATATGAAATTGGCATGATTGAAGCCTTCTGTGGATTGGGTCACAGAGGATGTTGTGAATGACAATGGAAAGCTAGTTTGGAGACTGTCCTTCCAAGCAGGGATCTCTCACTTTTAACATCTCATGGTATGATTGCAGGCCAGACCCGGGCTTCATGGCAGAACGAGCAAGTTGTACAAAAGTCCCGTGAACTTTGATGATTCAACTAAAAGCAACACCCACAGCAGGTCAAGGACCTCATTTCAGTGGGTTTGGTCATACAAAAGAAGCAGTATACCCAATGAGGTCGGTCAGACTTACTTGCTCCCACCGGACCGGCAGGGACATATCTAACCAATACGTCATTCCCGCAAGGCGCTCCTTTGCGTGGACATGTTCTCTCCAAATGTACCTTATGTTTCACTGCACTCACCGTAAGCACTGCATGGTGAGGCCCATGTTTGTCCTGGTCTCAGCAAGTTTGCACTCAGTTTTCATAGAGTCCTGGAGGGACAAAACAAATGGAGCTTCCTTGGTTCGATCATTTAACCGGCTTTCTGCTGCCGCACCGTCTGCGCACCCTCCCCTTCCCCCCACCCCCTCACCTTCTCGCAGCCTCCTAGGACGATGAAGAGGATGAGATGCCTTCCTGTTCTCCAACGGCCCAGAAGTTCCTGCAGCGCTATTTGACCGTCGATGGCCAGCCCCGCCGGGCGGCCGCCATGGTGACTGAAGCTGCAGGGAGGGAAGAGTGGAAGATCACTGGCACCACCGAAGTCTTCCAATCACTACCCGAAGCTGGGTGCTGGCAGTGGTAGCAGATATCCTATTCTGGAGACGTGCGAGGGTCGGGGCGATTAAGAGTTCTTCATCCATCTTCAGGGACCGGTTGGGCTGTGTTCACGGAGCGTTTGGGCAGAAAAGGTCTCCGCACGCCTTCGACCTGTGGTAGGGAATGCGGTCTTTGTTCCTCCAGGTGTCATACCCACACACTCCATGTATGCCATGTATGCCGCCCCATTGACCCCTGGCACCACCCCAACTGATCGGCAGTCCTATGGCAGTCCCAGACAGGTCGTGTCTGGGATAAGTCGCCTGGGGGCTCCTGAGCTTGGAAGGTATGACTCACATGACGCTGCCTGGTCACCGAAAAGAAGGGTACCACTGCAGCCCGACAGACATGACACTCCTTGAGATATCTTGAGATAATCATGTAAAGGGAATTAAATGGATTGCAGTTGGATGACCATGATGACCATGTTCCGAATACCACACCGACAGGTCTTTTTTGTACGATTTCCACTTCCATGATTACTCCAAGGAGTGCATACAAAGTCTTTTTGTTGCCATCACCGGCGTCAAGAGGGCTCTTCGTTTCACGGAGAAAAGTCGCCATGCAATTCCGCCACTCCTGCCCATCAATGGAGGTGATCGAAGAGTTGCATGTGCTCAACTTGCTGGCGGAGGTGTCGGCCGACACTCGCCATGATGCCCTTCCAGACTTACGCAGCTCGGTAACCGGACGTCGGACGTCCGGCGTCCCGTTTCGGGGGAGCGAGAGACCGCGTGGCTGGGAACGGCCAAGCGGGTCCGACCGAGCCGCGGCGGTGTACGACCGAGCCCCAAAACGACCTCAATGGAGCGGCAGTCCGGACTGGCAGTCCCAGACAGGTCGTGTTTGGGAATGAGACATTCTGACCCTTGCGCACCCCCAGGTGTCAGTCTCGCTATCAAACCATACCGAAGCCAACGACCCCGGACCCGTGGGTGGAGGATTTGGGCTTCCTCGAGAGCTGGGAGTGTCCATGACTTGTCAGGTCAGGAGCTCATGCCGTTGCACCTGGCTGCGCGCGCTGGAGGGGAGGGTGGTGGAGGGGTGCCTTCTTTTGCGCGTCCATTCTGAAACGTTGCTTTCCGGTGTTATCGTGGTGTTTCTGGGTGAAAACATGTAGTTGTTGAAAGTGAGAGGAGTGAATTCCTTGAAGGAAGAATCCTTAGCGCCTTGGGGAATCCTTATGTTTGGTTGAAATATTTGATGCTAGGATGGATACGCTGGAGAATATGTATGGCCCCTCAAAGCTTTTGCCTCGAATCGTTTCAAATAATGTTTCTTGGATTGGTTGAATTTGTCTTTTGGGTGGAGTATAATAGGGAGGAAACAAGTCAAACATTTTGGGACAAAAGCTAATGGCATTCTTCCATCAAGTTCAGTAGCTGTGGAGCAGTCTTTGAGCAAGATTCAGTTCAGCCAGGATCGAAGCCTCGGAAAGATTACATAAGATTAACATGGAACCTGAAATTGATTTTTAGAAGACTATAGGGCGTAAGCCCCAGAGATGAGCAGTGCTGAGTTGCATGATGACTACCCGTGCGATGCAAGGGTATCCAATGGACTACGCTCCACGCCTTTGCATTGGCCGGCAAGGCAAATCACGACAAACTGAGTTTTGTTCTTCGGAACCTGTGTCACAAAAGGTCATAAGCTGAATAGAATAGCACCTGCATCAGGAAAGACGGGTTCAGCACCAAGCAACTCCTGCGATGGCATGTGGATGGCATTCGGAGTCAGTAGAACAACAAAAGAGTGAATCCTTAACGCAGACGTTCCATGTATGATCGGTATATATATATATGCCTACATTGACCCACCAAACCACCCCAATGTTGGCATATATATGACGGTCCCATCTGGGTAAAACAAGAGGTCACCTTCAAAGTTTAGGACCCTCAAGTCAAAGTTGTGACACGGCCACATTTCTCCAGGCAACATGCGACATATTTTCACAAGTAGATGGACTGGACAGCGGTTTTGGCCCCTGTTAGGGGGAGTGGCGTTTTGCTGCACTGGTGCAGGATGGTGAAGCACCTCAATTGTGCGTCTGGTCCCTGTCAGCAGGATGTGTTTGGTACTATTTATAGGACAAACTCATCTTCTGAGCTTCTCCCAACTCATCTGGCAGGAGATGTCCGTGCTGTGCGGTACTTACTGCTTTCGGGCTTCGATCCTCGGGAGACGAATCGAATGGGCCTCCTGGATGGAGAAGGTGAAGACGGTTTCGGGATGTAGAGGGATTGTGTAGACGATCGTGTGTGTGTGTGTGTGTTGTTTTTAATTGCATGCTTGTGACCAAACATTGAATATGAGTGGGCTTGGTGGGTTTTGTTTATAAGGAAGACAGCGTTTTATGTTTCTGCTGAACGAGTGTTTCTTTGTTCACATGGAGCAGAGATGGGGCAGGGGCCTAGCCGTAGTGAATTTCGGATTCAGAAAATGATCAGTTGCTGATTGTGTGGTTGGGTTTTTCTATACTTGCTGAGAAGGTGTTCAGGGTTTGGGGTCTACAATACATGCACCTCCTTAGAATGTAGTTGGAGCTGTGGGGATACTTCAGAAGGAAGGGAGTTACACTACCCTGTGGATCCAGTTACCACTGCAGTGAGTAACCAGTGTTTCCAAAGACTTAAAACTGTAGAAATGCTGGTTCCTTCTAGAGTGGTAGCTGGGACCACACTGGTATGTTTCTTGGGCGATCAAATTCAGTCATAGACATGGCAGTCTAGGATCACCATTCCCCTGGCAGCCTGAGCATGGTCAGATTTTACAGTGAAAAACATGGATTCCCTAATATATAGCTGTTTTCTTTGTTTATAGGGCCCTTTTGACCACGGTAGAGTTGCCTATCCCAGACCATCCATCTATGTCTGGCATATCGACCTACATTGCATCGGCGTTGCTAGGGCGATGTCATCCGTGGTTGGACGTTGTTCGGGGTTTTTCGGGGTGGCGATTTTTCCGCGTGGCACCCCGGAGAGGGAGATCGCCAGAAACGGTGATTTGGCGCCAAGTGATGATGGAGACACTTCGTTGGTTCCCTTGGTCTTCAGTTTGCCCCACGAAATGGGCACCCGATCAGACGAGGGACGTGCCACAGAAAAATACACAGCTACTTCACGCTGGGGAAATGGGCACAGCATGGCACAGCCTGGAGTGAAAAGGATTAGGTACTAATGAAGTGCCTGGACCTTGCAAGGGGTGCCCAATGAAGGCCTTTATCAGTGAAGGGCCGGGGCTTCCATTGATTGACCACTTTTCAGAGCCTTCGAAACTGGCGACATGACTAAGCTTGCTTCATGATCTCCAAGACAGGTTGAACAGCCCTATAGCCCATCGTACCACCACAGGGTCCTAGTCAGGGTTTGGTCTCTCAACCTCTCTTGGTCTGACGGGGCGAGTTCGCCGGCGGCCGCCCGGGGCGTCGATGCAGGTGAAACGGTGCTTCAAGTGGCGGAAGCAGCCAACCTCTCGGGCTCCAACGATGCGGTGATCCAGCTGCCACCTGGCGATGTGGGGTGAAATAAGTAAGTATAGGGTTCTTGAGCTATTAGCTTGGAGGCCATCGCTAGTAGGTTGGAGGCCATTACTACTATAGCAACAAAAATGCGCTATTCGAAGCTATCATAACTCTGACACCTTTGTCCGCTGAAGGCGGTCGCCAAGGTTGGCGCGCCCCGGCGGTCGAACTGGGTCGTAGTGCGAGTGCAAGATCCAACGATCCAACGATACACAAGTATCACCGAAAAGGCAAGACAACACTACACCCTGTGGCTGCATAAATGAAGTATTCAACAATACCTGCATCATCCGTTCTGGGTTAGCAGTCTAGACTACCCTGCACATATGGACCTCCAGACAGGACACCCATGTTCAATCAAAGACCTCGGAACAGAAACGGCTCCGACTGGACCTCACTCGAGAGACGGTGTCTTCAAACGCATTTCTCCGGAGGCCTGCGCACGTTTTGAGCCTCCAACGAAGCTGTGTGAACCACGTAAAGGGTGTTCAAAAGAAAGACAGGGCACGTCAACAGGCGACGAGCAGGAACAAAAACGATCAGGTCCAGGACCAATTCGTGTTGGTCCACCAGGAAGGTGAACCGTGCAGAAGAAAGAATGGTCCACCTCGCATGGAATTTTTGCTATAGAACCTACCTCACCATTAGACAGAACTTGCTTTATCACCGTGCTGCAGACCCAGAACGTACGTTATAATATATATTTATGCAACAAAAGACCGCAAACAGTGACAGCGACTAAGAGGAAAAGCCCACCAGCAGAAAGGCAGGTGGCATCAGACACGTGTTCAGTGTTTCCCTGCCATCTCAACTTGTACGAATTGGTGGCACAGAAATCTCAAGCGAAACTTGAGATCGGACCGTGGATTTGATTAGGTGAATGCTTGGAAGACCCACCGGAGGAGACTTCACGAACAGACGAGAGCCACCGGCTGAGACCCTCACCCTCATGGTCCAGGCAGAAGAAATCGTGGAGCGAAGCACACACTATATCACTTAATTTTGGGTGCTGCCCTGGTTCATTCATGGGAAATTCATTCGCATAGTTTCACATTGGAATGACTATAGTATCGACTGAGTGTGTTGGTTCTGTAATGATCTGTGTAGGTTTGGTAGGCGACCGGCTGAAACACCCAGCATAGGCATTACTCCCGACTCACGGTCAGTGCAAAGAGCCCCGGTTCGAGGAACATCGTCCGGTTCAGGTCCTTCCCTGTTAGTGAGTCAGAGACTTTCTTAGAAAAACTGGTCTCAGGATGTCTCAAAGGTCATGCTTCATCCTGCTCCAGTCGTACTGTCGTTTCGGTGACGGGAGTCCGGGTGCGAGGATGTGCCATATATCCATCGGCCGGTGTTTTCTGGCTTCCGAGTTGTCCTGGATCGGTCCCAAGGCTGAAATCCCTGCCTATGCCTCTGGAACTTTTACGAGAACAACTTTGAAATCCCACCGACCACTGTGCTCGGCGGTGGGTTCAGACCACATCGGCTGTGGAATGAGTGAGCCAGAGCCCAAGCGTTTGGGCTCCTGAGTCCTCTCTTCGATCTGAAGGATGTCTCCAAGGGGCCACAGTCTGTCTCCAAAGAGACACAACGTGCATTTTTGAAAGATTGACTTGCTCGAGGTCACCTGAGACTGGAAAGAAGTGACCGAAGTTAGCTTCGATCGTGTCTCGTGTTGGAAGTCATGTCTCAACATCTCGACATCGTTTTTGGGGATTCCCCCAAAAGGGGCGGGGTTCTTCGTTCGCTTCCTGCGCCGACCTTGCCCTACGGGTCGGGAAACTCCTTTTTACTGGACTGGTTTCACTCGGACCAGGACCAGGTTGGATCAGAGCTGGCTGAAGCCGGACCGTTGGTCGACCCAAGGAACCATTCCCACGACGTGGGACAGACCTGGATCTTCTGACATGCCTGGCATGTCTACACCAACTTTGCTGTTTTTTGTTTTTATTATGGATGAAAAGGCAAAACACATATTGTCGCAGTTCGAAGATGCAGGTATGTGGTATGTTCATGTTGTTTGATGATGTTTGATGTTCTCGTATTGTCCTGAGCATATCTGAACATGGTTGTGATACATCATGAAGGATACTTGATACATGTATGTTATCAGAATACGAAAGAACCTTTGAAGATCTTTGAAGTACTGAATCACCAAAATTTCTAGCACTCAATCCCCAACGGCGGGGATGCGAGTGTTCCGGTTGACAAGCTTCACGCGACTCTGAGCTCATATGGACTCATATTGTATGATATTGTATGTATACTGTATACCCTGAACATTCATTCGTAGCACTTTTTTTTGGCGAACCTAGGAAATGACCACTTTTTGGAGTTTTGGAGCGTTTTTTGATGAAACGAGCACTTTTTAGTGTTTTTCATAAATCGAGCGCTTTTTGAGGCCCTGGAGATTTGAAGTTGTTCTTGATCTGTTTGCATCCCTCTGATGACTTTCTTTTTCTACAGGCCCTTAACCAAATCCTTTAGGAACCCAGGTGGTCCGCACGTTGCCCTGTGCATAGTGGTGCGCGGGCCCCGCGCGTCTTTGGCTTCATTGGCCGCCTTAGAGGCGGCGGGATGTGGTGGATAGAGGTGGTGGAAAGCCAAAACAAAGTGTTTAGCAGGATCTGGTGTCCTGAGTGATGTCTTAAATTAAGTGCTCAATATCAAAGACCCAGAAGGAATTCACGTCATCTTTAGATGGCCATGGCACGCTCTTCAGCTACGTGCAGCCAAGTTTGACTAGAGGTACGCCCCGTCTTGTTTGCGGTGGGACTGGGACTGTTTTGTGGTGAGGTAGTGCAACCTTTTGTCGCTCTTTGTGTGCGCATGGCTCTTCCTCAGCCCCACTGAGCTCGAGTTCATGGACGCATGCATGCATACATGCACATAATATTAATTTCAATGATGCACGCCTGCATTTGCCTTCGTGTCGATTTGTTCTTTCTAGCCATACTCGTAGCTATGCCCGTTGATGTGGCGCCAGTGGTCCAAGCCTGGATGGAATGTCCTACCATCATCCAGCGCGCAGCTGTCCAAAAGCTCATGAGTTTTGAGCTGGGCCCTACTCCGGAAGCAGCTGAATCGCATGCTTTGGTGTTGGCACCCGTTATGAAACATCTTGGTACTTTGGATGCAAAATGATCATGATCCTATATATGCATGCACTACCTCTCGACAATTCCATGTGTCCATGTGTATGCACCGTGCAATACATACGTGCAGGCCTCAAGCCCTCGATCGACGTGACCAGAGACTGCGTGAATCGGCTCTTCACGGCGTGCAAACCATTCGGCAAGAAGGATGCAAGCAGTCCCTTTGTCGGACCTACTAAGTGATATGCTTTTACCTGCCTGGGAGACACCAAAACTGTTCATTGCTGAGTTATATAGGTATGGACCCATGTGCATCTGAGGTTCCACAGTCAAGAAGACTGCCTGGTACATCCGGAAGTTGGTCACCGCATGGAGACGTTTCGCTTCCCGGGGGCATGTTCCACGATCTCGAGGTCATAGAATGCTCTTTGAAGCTGCAGAAATTCCATGGCCGGAACGACTTTTGCCTTCATTTTCTGTTTCCTTGTAAAGATGGAAATATGGAAGAATTGCTGGCCCCGAACCTGTTCATCTTTGCCCTCTGCATTAGAGGTCTAGATTGGGGCCAGCATTTCTTGCCTAACAAAGCGGAACATTTGCATTCAATTGGTGCTTTCTGATCACCTTCTGAATCTGATCTCAGGATCTGATTCCGGTTCCTTCACCAACACCGGTTGCGCCGAGACGGATCTTGAGGACTTTGAAGAGTTTGGCGAAACTGGGGAGGAAGAATCCTTGGAAGATGATGAAGTGGTGGAGGCCCAACTTTAATAGAATGGTCCACGTATGTTTGTGCACTAACCTGAAAAAAAAAACTCTTTTTTCACACATGTCCCACCCACTACAGGCTCCACAAGCTTCCAATCCTAGACGCGAAGTTCCCGAACCATTGCAACATGAGATTGCTGGACGTGGACCGGGCCAGGTTCTTAGCTGACACCAAGATTTGAGGGATCCATAGGTTGCATGACTGCGTGGTGATTTTTTGTGTCTATGTTTCCAACACCCCGCGCTTTTGCGCAGCCATCCTTTCTAATCGCTGCCTGAGGTACCCAACCACCGCAGTCGGAGTTGCAAACGCCTCCGCCAAAGAGCCGCTGGGCAAGACATTTAAGCATGTTGCCTCTTTAACTTTATTCGATCGTCCTATGATGGAATATCACTATGACATGGACTGGCCAAAGATCTATGGGTTGATTGGATATTGGACCCAAAGCCACAAGTGGGGATCCCGTCTTCAAACTCTCATCACCCTTGGCATTTCGAGGTTGCATGCTGGACCGGCATACCTCTGGCGAGAAGCTACCCACGAGCCACCAGAACGAGGCTGAGAAGCTGGAGGTCTTGCGGGCGCTAGAGAAGGAACTTGCAGTCTTAAACGCCCTGGTGGAACAAAAGAAAACTTTGCTACATGTTGAGAAGAAAACGATTGAGATCAACCAGAGTGGCAGTAGCACGCTGGCATTTTTCAAGTTTGCATGGGCATGATGTTTCGGGGGTAGGCCTTGTTATGGAAACGATTGCCATACTGCCAGGCTTGAACATCTAAGGCATGGATGTGGTTGACACTTTGCCAATGCCAATGGACTTGATGGACCAGTTTGCTATCATGGCCACAGAGTCCGCTGATGCTTTTGAGCGCAAGTCTCCTCCCACGGTTGAGGCTGTTCCAGAAATCCTCCGAGCCAAGACCCTTGTTCTGGGGGAGCTTGATCCAGATGGGTGGTAGTGAGGAACCTTCCAAAGAGCCATCAAATCCCAACCTGGCTGATTGTGAGGAACCTTCCAAAGAGCCATCAAATCCCACCCTGGCTGATCGTGAGGAACCTTCCAAAGAGCCATCAAGTCCCATTAGTGGCGATGGTCAGGAACCTTCCAAAGAGCTACCAAGTCCAGCCAGGGGTGATGGTGAGGAACCTTCCAAAGGCACACCAAGTCGCACCAGACAAAATGGTGAGGAACCTTCCAAAAACCAATCACGCTCCTCCAAGAGTGATGGTGCGGAACCTTTCAAGGAGCCATCAAGTCCAACCAAAGGTGATGGTGAGGAACCTTCCAAAGAGCCGTCAAGTCCCATTAGGGTTGAGGGTGAGGAGCCTTCCAAAGAGCCATCACGAGCCACCGATTTGTCGGAGCCTGTCTTGGAGCAGCAGCCGCCCAAGTGTGATGCTCCTGCACGTGGCATTTCGGAAGAGGTTGGGTTTTTGGAAAGTGTATCGTCATTTTTACATCATATAAATTATGCATTTTCCATCGTCGCGAACATACCCCCACGCAGGTTGACGCGAAGGAGGTTATGGCAAGGACAAAGCATATTAGCCCACCTACACAGACCAAACTAACACGGGGGAGGCAGAACGTTAAAGGGAATGAAGGTGAAGGGGATGAGGAAGAGCCAGGTTCAGGGGAAGAGGAGGAAGAGGAGGAAGAAGAAGAGCCAAAGGAAAGGAAGAGGACTGGTAGGAAGGAAGCAGCGGGAAAAGGGCAGGATGAGGGAAAGGCTGGACAGGCGAGGAAACCTCGGGGAAAGGCAGCAGCAAAGCCAAAGGCAAAGGGAAAGGAGAGGAATTCTCGGAAGGTCAAGGATGGGCGAAAGGATGAGAGGGCGGAAGAGGTAAAGGAGACGGAAGCAATGGGAAAGCGCCAAAGGAAGAAGGATAAGGAGCAGCTACAGGCAGAGGCGGAACAACCAGTGGAGAAGCCGAAGGATAAGGCCAAAGGAAGGAAGGATAAGGAGCAGCCACAGGAAGAGTTGGGCACGGGTGGCAAAAGTTTGGAGGGGGAGGAGGAGAAGGATGAAAAAGGACAGGGCAACCAGAGAAAGGCAGATGCAGGAGAGGAGGCGAACGGCAGGCCCGAGGCAAAGGCAAAGGCACAAGGTCGAAAAAAGAAGGTTTATGAGACACGAGAAGAAGCAGAAAGGGCCGCTAAGCGTAGCCGCCAGAGTTCTGCGTACAGTGTGGAATACAGGAAGGCTTTGCCAATCCATGGGGAGGAGGAAGCAAGAAAGAGGGCGCGCAAGGATCCTAGGCGTAGCTTATTATGTTTTATTCTGTTTTAGTGCATGTGGAGGTTTAAAAAATAGGTAGTGCGGTAGCTTTCAATAATGTGGAAGCTGTACATCTTAGGCATACGCCTGGACGAAATGATGAGCGAGGGGCTTTTCTGGGAATGCTGGCACTGACCGTGCCCAGCTGCTGCAGCTTTCTTCAAAGCTGCACGGGGGTTTTTCTTGCGAAGCAAGCTTCATCTATATATCTTCTGGGCTGGGTGGTCACACAAGCGTGATCAAACGATCCTAGCTCGCAATACTCCAGGGCAGGGTTGTTTTGGAAAAAATGCTCATTGCGACCTCAGCCTGCTACTTGGGCAGCTCCCCGATTGCCAGGTGTGCGCGCATGCCGGCTTGCGAGTATGAATCTGACGGAGAAGGCCTGCGTGAGTAGCGTTGGCCGTTTCCAACCGCTCTAGATTGAGGTGTCCGGAAAGGAGCTGAAAAGAACCCCAAAAAAACTCATTTCCGGACACCTTGAGCAGCCGCGCTGCGTTGTCAGCTGTTAGCGCGTGAACTTCCCACACCGCCCGTTCCTTGCTGCAGATCAGTTGGCCTTTTTTGAAATTTACCGGTGGTCGATCGCAGCCATGGAAAGCTCGATCTTGGTTCGTTTACTTCAAGTCCAAGCCCCGAAGGCCAGATTTTAATTTAGGGACACCTTCAGTTCTTGGGCCCTGGTTTGCTGATCTTAGGTTTGGATCGCCACCGCCTGGGCCTAGAGCTCGCTTTTCAATCAAAGTTGCCGCTCAAATCTCGGATCTATTGGCCCAGGTCCTCCTCCTGCTTTGGCAGTCGAACCTGGTATTCACGGAGGGAGGGAACATCGATTTCATCGAGATTTTCAGTGGACAGGCTAAGGTGACACAATATTGGCACCCAGGCAAGTAATAGCAAATGATATGTGATGTGCGTACGGTGCAAGGTGCTGAGTTCACGTGGGGGTTGTATGGCTTTTGTTTGAGGTCTGAGCAGGGTTACAGGTGCTGCAAGGTCGACTTAGATTACGATGAATGTATGGACTTCAATGCTTGCGGCGGCTTTCTGCCACCTGGCCTGACCCCTGTAATTGTGTGCCACTATTTCATTTTAGGGCGCGGGCGTGCTGAGGCTTTGTGCCCACTTGATCTTGAATCAAGTGCCTGACGGGTGCAACCTTCTAGCACCCGTTTGTGGTAGTTGGAGCGCAGTGAGCAGAGGAAGCACATTGCGGTCCTATATCAACCCAATGGGCCGGCACTGCCCAAGTGTAGATTCTGGAAACCGAATGGTATCAAGGCAGTGGGGCTTGAGGAAGGTTTACTGGAAAGAGTCTACACCTTTTCCTGCGTGTAGCTGACATTTGGGGGAAGTGTGCTCAGGTGTGTGCTACTCATTTTGCTCATGATGAGCAAAAACTTAAGGTGGTTGCTTGAGCAACCGCACCAGAGCTTGCTCCCGCGACACAAGAGAATGGAATGGTTATTGAACCGGGTAGTGTTTGTGTCTGGGCTGCTTGAAACGGCGCTTGCTGCTCTTGCTCGTGCAGGACGTAGGAAACAAACCACGGCCCAGGTACACATCGTCTACTTCTGGATGATGCACTACAACAAAAAAAGCCCCAAGCGTTCCATGATGCTTAGCAATATGTCCTCCATTTCTATGCTGGACTTGGGGGTACTGACCAAAAAAACAACGTGACATTCCAGATCGACTTGAAACAACGTGCATCTTGGTTGGTAAACCATGTAGTCATCCTTCTGTTTGGGGGGCAGGCATGCATTAGGACAGCGCATGTTAGCTGAGGCAAATATTTGGATAAGGATGGCATCTTAAGATATCAGGGAAACAAGCAATTGAAGTCGACCCAGTCTTGGCCTCAAGCAAAACAGGCTCGCAGAAAGCCGCCGCCAGCCCTCCCTCCCTCCCAGGTTCTACAGCCGTGAATTTGGCAAAAAGCTCCTCGAAGTGTACCAGGCCGCACAAGCTGATAGCTCCAGATTGGACCTGCGCACCCGGCCAGAGATAGATTCTCGGAAGACGGACCGCGAGCTATTCGAGAACTTGCCGTTGGGAGATATTTGGTACGAGTCTGATTGCCACAAAGCCTTTGAATACTTGTACAACTCCAAATATTTGAGGTGTGGGGTGGTGTGTTTGCAGTGGTAGGGATTGGAAAGGATCGATTTGTTTATGTGCTTCGCGGGTCTCCCTGTAGGATCCCTACATCTTGGGCTCCCACTATCCAATCTTTCCGAACTGACCTCTTGGAAGAGGTGGGAAAATAATCGCCCCCGAAACGGAGCCCTAACCACGCACCCGGTCCCAGGTGAAGCGGATTGAATCAAACCCTGATGGCCGAGATTGCATCTAGAGCAATTTGATCTTTGGGCTTGGCACGTGTATAGTCACGTCCCGGGTGCTTCTGGCATTCTTCAATGCCCTGTTGACATCTAATTTGGTCCTCAGTGGAAGGTGCGGGTTTCTTGAGACCCATGAAAACAGCACATAAGGTTAAGGTATCGGTTTTTGCCAAACTGGACACCCGCAAAACGAGCGCAATTTGCCGCAAAACGAGCGCAATTTGCCGCTAAACGAGCGCAATTTAAAAAGTGGCGAGCCACTCCAACCAACAACCTTTTTTGTTCAGCAGCCAATGTTTGGATACCTTTGTTTTCCGGTTCAGCTCCCAGAGACAATGCACCTTCCGGTGTGGTCAGTTGCAGCCATAGCCACATACTCTGTGTGGCCGGGTCGGAACAAAAAGGTTTTCCACTACTAAAGTTGTGCATTCGTGCGTGGACAAGCACAATCTAATGACAACATTATACCTTTGGCTCACAGAGGTCCAGCATGTCAAGGGAAACAGTGCTTTACGGTGGCCATTCTTGTGCGACCCTTGCACGGGGAATTGCAATGGCCAACCATGGGGAGCACGGTGATCCGACAAATGCCCTTCAGGCTCAAATCGAGGCTCGCTTGGCTGCCTGCCTTTTCATTGTCTCGCCGACAGGAGTTGCAACTTCACAACTGAGGCGTCTATGGCAAAGATAGCCGCGCAGCAGAAACGTCTGGCTGAGCTGAGCCAAGATGTTCCTATCCACCTGCCTGAAAAGCACCCAGCAGGCCCAATTTGGTTTTCCCTGTTTTGTGTTATAGCGCAGCGTGTGGATGCCCGCAGGTGCGCCTTATGTTGCGAGGTCAGACGGAGCATTTCTGGCTGGCACTGCTCAGACCACATTGGAACAGACCCTGCCGAACAGCCTCCAAACAATCCCTGGCCCATCTAACTTGGGAAAGCAAACCACTATCGATCTCGAAAGTATTGTGTCTACACCGCCACCTCCGGCAGGGGAGCGTAAGACCGACTATCCTGACATGCACGAGGGTTTCAACTCCGGGTTTCCAACTGGCACCCCGACGCCCAAAGGTAAAGCTCCCGGCTCCCCTGCTCCCAGCATTGCCCAAACCTTTGTTGCAGAGCCTTTTGGTGACCAGCGTGGAGAAAAAGAGGAGAAATCAGGATCATATTGGAAGCCGCTCTCTTGCATTTCTTGAGGAGCCATGGACCCTTACAGTTGGAAAGGAAACGGAATAAGGTGAAGGCAAGGTTGAAGGGTCCTTATCGCTGCGCAGCCTGCCTAGGCTGTACCGGTACTGCCAATTGACCAATTCCAAGGGCGAACAGAAATGTTCCAATGAGGTCCTCCAGATGTATAAGACTGACACGGGTCGCGCCTTGCCTGCCATTTTCTTGCTAGATGTACGCCCTGTAGCTGTTTGCTTTTTGGGGGGCCTTCAAGGCAACAAGCTGAAGGAGCTTTTGAGACGCCATCAAGATTTGAAGAAGGTTGATGCTGTGATTCAGAGATGGCACGTCCGGAAAGCCAGATTCGACAAAAAGGGGGGGCTGGTACACGCGGCCTTGGCTGATGAATGAAAGGCACTGGACTAAGACGCTAGGTGTGATAAGTATTTAACATGCGAAGTCCGGATGCAAAATCCCTCGTGCTGGAAACGTCTATAGTGCTAATTGTTTGTGTTGGAGCCCTGTTCAACTTAGGAAGATGACAGACTGTGCTTTCGAGTGGGCGGAAAAACATAACCGCAAGAGGAAAAACCCGGTACACCAAGAGGAAGAAATTGGCATAGTGTTGGACGACGAGTTCATGTTCCGGACAGAATCGGGAGAGAGCATGTCACAACAGACGACCTTTGGCGTGGAGGACCCCTGATCTTTTGTGGGGTGCCTGTGGGGCATGTTAGCAGCCACCACGACCGCACGTTGATTAACTTTTGGACGTGTTCTTTTCTTTCTGAGTGGGGCGCAGGATGAGGACATGGCTTTGTTGGACAACGACTTCTTGCCGTCCTCTACTGCTGGCCAAGATGCCCTGACGGGCTTTGCGATGGAGCAAGCCGGAATGCACTTGGAAGAAGGGCATGAGAGCCTCCGAGCTGATTCTTCCAGCTTTAAGTTCCTTGGTTGAAAGATCAACGCACAGGCCTTGTTTGGAAGATCAACCCAAAGGCCCAACTCAGCCAATCCAACACGAGCCAACAGACCCTGCAATGGATTTTTGAGGGGTGCCCTTTTTTTTGCTTTAAACGCATACAAAAACGCTTGAAAAAGGGCACCCCCAAATTTACCTTTGCTGGCCTTACTTGGATCCTCACATCAACCCCCGCAGGTAGATTCAGGACACCTCAATCTTTTCAATTGCTTTCTTGGCTGAGGCTTTGCTACCCCAGCATCAAGCAGAATTCCTCGTACAAGACTTTGCTCCCGGCATTTGTTGAAGTTTGCAGCCGCAAGCTTGACAATACAGCCAAGGTTCAGGAGTTTTGATTGCTGGCTTGTTTGTGCAAGAATTCACCGGCATGACCTGCAAAGTCTATACGTGGGCACGTTGTGCATATACGCACGTTTGTTTTGGAGGAGACCTTGAACAGCATCAACACAGACCGTGCAAAGGAGCCCCTTACCTGTCACTTCATTCCAAGCAACCGTCTTTCAGCGGAATGCCAATTCTGTTGAGGCAACAAACTTTCCACCCCACACCGGTTTAATCTCCTGAGGTTGCATGGCCACCTGGACTCTGTAACCAAGCAGCTGAAGGTGCACCACCAAAAGATGATGGATATTCAGGGAGACATGTTGCTTGATGCCAAAAGGCGAGGTTTGTAAGATGTAGCGATGTTATTTTTGTTTTCCTGCGCGCACATTGCCCCAATCCGTGCCTTGGAGGGACTTTGAGGGCGATCTACAGGACCTGTTCTCTCAAATCACGAGATTGGATGTGACATTGAACAACTATATTTGCCGCAGTAAGTTTGGACCTGAGCTTGCAAGTGCTTTCACCATACACCTTCACAGGCGTAAGTGGTCGCAATACTTGTGCGACATGTATGTTTTCAGGCAGATCAAGAAGCCCAAGAATGTTCCTGATAACGGTGGGAAAGGTTCCAATCGCCGTTCACCTGCGGGTAAAGCGAAGGCGAAGGCCAAGGGAAAGGCCAAATCAAGCGCCAAAAAGAAAAGTCCTGAGAATAAGGAGGACAAGTAGTTGACTCGCTGGCCTGCAGTTTGTCGGGGTTGGGCCACGCAAGGTGTAGACTGAAGTTTTGGGGAACCCTGCATCACCACTCTTGTGACTTCTTTTCATTCCTTCAGCCGCCATGTGTGCAAAGACCTCGGGTTTTGGGATGCTGCGTGTACACCCAGCACATGAGGGCTGAGTGAAAATCGAGAGCGCTTTGCGGGTTTGCCGCTACTGTCTAGTTGTGCTGGTGTGGTTCAAAGGGGTGTAAGTAAAAGAAGAAGACACAGAACCAGATCGGCTTACATACTTGTGTGGGCTGACATTGTTTTTGGCAGGTGAGAGCCTGGCTGGTGCTTCAGACAGCCCCATGGATGCAGTTAGTCGATATCCGTGTTCCAAGAAGTGTAAAAAACAATTTTTGGAGGTGGCCTTATATAGCTGTTTCAAAGGGCTTTGCGGGCTAGAAAGGCCACCTTCCACATTTACCTATTATAGGGTCTGTGGGCTCGTGGTGGTTAGACGATGTAGTCAATGTGTCATGTATAACGCATGATGCGTGTATGCAGTGCGCCAAACTGGCCACGTGTCCGCCCCCATCGCCTGAAGGCTCGGACGATCTTGCTGGCGAGCTTCTTCAAGGTGTGGAACAAGGGAGCATTCCTGCGTGCCGTGCTACGAAGATGGCTGGTATGATCTCTCGCAAGTTCAAAAAGCATGGACTTTTTATCCTGTTTGAGTATACGTTTTCATCTGCCCCAATGCCCAACCTATGTTCTCATAGATATGGATCTTATATATAATCTTATATATATTTTCTTTGGATGTGCCGCTCTAGTACCGCTCTAGGAATTGTGGATTCCAACCTGTCCCTTCTGGGAGTTCAGAGGGGCGTCAAAGGAGAGAATCATTGCCGTCGGCTTCACGCGTTTGCTCGGAAGACGGAATGCCTCTTGAGCGTTCGCGTCCAGAAAGTACAAACCATCGTGCGACAAATTGAGAAGTCGAAAGTTCATGAAGTTGAAATTGATTACCCAGTCCTGCCTCTTTCTTCGTGGATGGAGACGTCCTTCAACCTTGGTGGTCATTTTTTTCTTGGAGGGAAAGGTTTGAGCAGTTTCAGCCAGTTCTCCAAGATTTTGTGCGACTTTTGGAGGCGGTATAGACCGTTGGACCCGGACCTGCCATTCTTCGAAGACGTTGGGGAGCCATACTACCATTGCAGTTTTCCTGTGGCAGTTCATGGCGATGAGGGGCGCGGCCGCTATAAGCGGCCGATCCTCGTACTAAGTTTCCAACCGGTTCTGAGCAATATGAAGGATGAGGTCAACCTCAAGGGGTCTGGGTTGCGAAACTCTCTTGGCTGGTGTTTTTTATTGCCCCTATTACCTTCGCCCCAAACATACGTGTCTTGCAACCCTGCAGGCTGACGTACAACACACGGCTTTTGTATGCAGTGATCCCTTCGAGCATGTACGCAAAGAAAGACAAGACCATAGATGCGCTCATCAAAGCAATGGTTGATGATCTCAACAAACTGTACCACGAAGGGTTTGAAGTCTCTTAGCTTACAATCCTGGGCATAAAACATATGTCTTCTTTCTGCCTAAGGGTCACTGTTTTTTTAAAATGCCTTGTACTGAGGCATCGTTTTGGGACCATTATGTGGGCACCCTTTTCAACATTAAGAGGCCTAGTTCAATTTTACATTGAAAAAAGGGGCTCCCACGTAATGGTCCCAAAACGGATGCCCAAAACGTAGTGTGGGTTAAGGGCTTTCTAAATCTAGAAAAAAGCGCGTTGAATGGTCACGTCGGCAACGTGGCCCAGGTCAGAATGGAGGGGGCGTCCGTGAGAATGCGTCCAGTGTGGATCGGAACCAAAGGAGATTGGCCTTGGATGAGAAAGCTATACAAACTCAAGTCTGGCTTTCAGGCACAATGCCACAGGAAATGCCACTTGTGTGATGGCGCAGAAGCTTGCCACCCCAAAAAAAATAGTAAGCCCAAAAGGCTTTCATCATTTTGACCCTGGATGCCATTGCACCAGCCTTTGGATCCGAGGATTGGTGGGACATGGCGCCATCCAGCCACTTGCGGAATCTGCCTTTGGGGTACCACAACCCGTCCCCCTATTGGCCAAATTTCCGTTCTCCTATGTTTGATCTTCCTGGAGGACAAGATGCCTTCCGTATCCGCACGGATCCCACCCATACATACCATATAGGATATGGGAAAGATGAAAACGCAAGCATCCTAGTCCTTTTGGCACAGCTGGGCCATTTTGGTGGGAAGGGATCTCTGGATGCCAAGCTCGAAAGGGCCTTTGAACGCTTTGCCATCTACTGCAAGTCCACCCGGAAGCACACGAGCATCACCTTTTTCAGCAAAAAGCAGTTCAAGATACAACAGACCCTTAGCCATCATATGTTGCTGTTTTTGCAGGGGCTCATCCAAAGTTGAAAACCCTGAGCTCGCGCGGTTCCCCCCCTCCACCACCACCTAGGAAGGGGAGCTTCCCTTGCGGAGGTGGCAAGGGCCATGACACCGCAGTCCTGGGGGCCTGGCTTGAGACAGAGCTCACCTCAGTGTCTGCGGATTCTTTTGTCCCACGGTTGCATCATATGCCCGTGTGCTGTGTGAAGGTTTGTGCAGACTCATTTGGACGCTCAAGATGCCCTGCTTCCTAAGGAAAGCCCATGGAGAGAAATTGTACAAGTCATGAAGTACATGAACCGTGCGAGTTGCTTCTTCTGGAGGCTACTTTACACAAGTGGCATGTTTCTTTCCAAAGAGTCTGCGCAATCTGCCATCACGGCTGGCTGGGACATGGTAGAAACTTGTCTCTGTCAGTAGCTTGGGGCTGGTGGTCAGCCAAATTGAACATCATTTGCACTTGCGCTTAAGGAAGGGTATGCTGTTTGCAGCTCGTTGACGGCGGCGCAAGGCCTGCGTTTATTTAAGTGCAGGCCAAAACTACACATGATGGGACACATCACGCCCCTTAGCTATAATATACAGTATACGTCATGGACAACTGTTAACGAACGGGAAAATATCCAAGGCTGATCCTCCAACATGAGCTGCTGCGAGGCGCTGAACCCATGAATCCGGCGTGCTGGATGTGCTGGGGGGGATGAAGATTTCATAGGACGGATATCTAGAACCAGCAGACACCAGCATAGCAGAACGTCTCCTTTGAGAACATTGCAGGTGTCACTCATGGCCTATAAGAGGCATTGGAACACGTGTTTCACTGACTGAGATCCCGGGCGCTTGCCAGAAGAAAAGCTTGGCAAGGATCTTCACGTTCATGATCCGTAGTGTGGGTGTGTTGTGTGCAACTCGAAGGCACGAGGGGAGATGGACTGGGTTTGGGAGGGCTCTACGAGCGTTTTTTTAGTGTTCGTAGCGTTTTTTGGTGAAACGAGCGTTTTATCATATCGAGCGCTTTTTTCTGTAGCGAAGGAAGGTCCAGGACTATATTATAGTGTTTTATATATGTTTGCCTGGGCGTTGTCCAGGAAGAGTCATGTCTTTGTTGATTCTCTTGGGCACTTACTCTTGCAAGTCTTTCACGATTTCCAGTCCTTGTTGCAGCAGATGCAGCTGAAGACCTCGATGAAATTGGGACAAAGCGTCCTGGAAATTCTCCTGGCTGTTTGTCCATTGAACAGGCCATTGCAGGTGGATCAAATTGCTGGCGACCCGGGGCGCCAAAAAGCTAATATGGTACCGTTTCATGCATTTGTTTCGATGTACAGGTGATCTCATGAACAGAGAAGGTCAGACATAGCCCTTTGATTTGCGTTGAATGAAAAGACATGGAAAGTCGTCAGGTCCGAGCTGTCCGAACCAGTCGGAATCTGCTTGGGTCGGGTGTCGACGCAGGAAAGGATGGGTCTTCCGCCACACGCCGACCGTACGTCCAGTCCTTCGGCTGCCCCTGCGGTGTTCGCCGCCTAGCCAAGCCGTCCGATGCAATGGTTGGGGCGGTCAGCCCCAAAGAGTCCAACTCCTCCTCCTTCGATGGTCCGTTCCGGAGGTAAGCTGAAGCCGAGTTTGGTCGATGAGACAGAGCGAAAGAGAGCTGGACATCCGAGTTTTTTGGGATGGTCCAAGTTGTCCTTAGGGTAAAGTATACTGTAATATGTCCAGCAGGTCACAAGGGTCTCATGTCACATGGGTCTCATAATGTCTCATACAAAGACTGCACCCAATGAGGTCGTGGGGGCAAGGTTTTAATTTGTCCTTGGACAAGGGGAACTCATGGGACGCATGGGAACTCATGGCTTTGAGAGATTTATGGATCGATCGAGACTTCTGCGCATGATGGACGGAAGTTTGAGTAGAAAAAGACTATAAGGTACTGAACCCCGTGGACAAACTGCAGAGAACTTGGTGAAATCACTCAACTAACTTTCCTAAGCACCAAGTTCTTTCCTAAGCACTTGGCTGAACTTTGACCCACGCCTGCAGTGGCAGTTTGCCGGCGCTCCGGGGGTATGTTCGTTTCCACTGACTGAGATCCCAGCGTCGTGGAGAGAGTTCGATTGAGAGGAAGGAGTTGGAGGTCGAGAACTGCCTGGATGTTGAGTCAGTCCATTTATCAAGGTCTACTGTTCTCAGAACTTCCCCTGAATTCCTGGTTCAACTTTTGGCAGAGGAGACATTGGAAGCAAATAGTTTTGACATAAGTGTGATTATGTTTGTCCATTCCTACCCTGGACACTGTTGAAAGGTCAAAACAAAAAAGAAACATATGGCTAGACTGAGACCCATGCCCTGTTCCAAAAGGCTTTGTTCAGTATCACTCGGCCTGAGGTTCTTTCGGTGAATCCATGTGAATCCCCAAACGATTTGATGTTGGGGACGGACGCCACCGAAATCCCAGTTTCCCAGATAGACTGGCCAAAACAAGATTGATGGAAGAGTCCGGCCTGGAGCGGCATGTCGCAGTCATTCAGACTCCCAGATATGAACGGAACACCTGAACGTCCGATTTGGACGAGGCGCTGAACTCCGGCGATGGCACTGAACTACACACACCAGACATACCCAGACCATCCATGGGACTTAAACAGAGTTATCCACATGGGACTGGTGCCATATGACACAACTGATGTTTGGTTCTTGGGGAGAATTCGGGTGATGTGTTCCTTTTTTTCCTGAGCTGAATGAATCCCCTCCTGGATCTTCCCAGTGACCGGCTCACTTAGGCTTGTAAAAGACGTAAAAGGTCACTTAGGGGACCCAAAAAGGTTCATATAACAGCACCCGACTTCACAGGTCTCCTCTAAGGCTTTTGCTGACCTAAAAGTCGCAGGTGGTGACCTGTTGGAGGGTGCTGGATATTATATACATCATTGAATCATGTTTATTTGTCTCGGTTCCTGATTGAATCCCGGGATGGGACTCCTTTTTGTATTGCCCCAGGCAGGAATCCTGAAACAAGCACCCCAAGCGTAAGTATGACGTCTAAAGGTATCTATAAATATGTTTACAAAGATCGGGTCACACTTGTACTGTACCCCCAAGATGGACTTATTAAGAAGGCTCAAGGGCTCTCACATGTGCGATTCGCTGGGTGTGCTTCTTCATTTTCGCAGCTGGCCTGACTGTTGTGTCTGTTGATGGCCGACAGCTCAGGGGTCATCATGACCTTGGCTTGCGAAAGGTGTTTCCACCAGTTGGTGGGCGAACATCCTTCAGACCTGCCTAGTCACTTGATGGACTTTGGTTGGAATCTTCTTTGAAGATGTACAGTCTTGGTCTTGGGGATCCATGCAGAAAAGCTCAAGAGCTAGACTGATGTCTGTGCACCACTTGGCTACGTCCAGATTCCAAGAGATCCTTTCAGACTCAGCTGATTCTCTACGAAACGATCTTTTCGCTGGATCTTTCCCTCTACGAAACACATTGTTCAACATTCGGTGTCGCAACTGGTGGCAAACCAAAGTAGAATTGCATGGTTCAAAGATGTTCTAAAACCTTGGTGAAGTTTACCACATCTCTTCAACCCGGAGAACCAGTGTGACCCTCCTGTACCGGCATCCAAATACCCTACGCACGGACCCTGGCACCGACTCAGAGGGTAGTGGATCCGGGATATCGCTCTCCTTGCGTGGCTTCACCCAAGACATGTCTCGGACCGGGCCGAAGGTATGGCTTTCGATGCTGAGTCGAACATTTTCAGGTTGTGGGAACATGTGGGAAAACTAGGACTGAGAGACATGGTGGGCCAAGTCGAGTCGCAGTTTGCGACTCGTTTTGGGGCAGAAACTCCTTGACTCTTCCTCAAAACAAGCTTTTAGGTGCCCAGGTACGAAATACGGCGTTTGCTCGGATGCCTCGCGTGTTCCCAGAAAATCCTGAGATGGTAATAAATCTCCGCGATCAAAATGCTTAGAAGTTGCGAGCAACTTGGCATGAGGATTTGCCTCAGACTCACAGACTGCTCCTTCGAGCAGCTGTCAAGGAAAACAAGAGTGGCGGAGCTGCAGACAAAGGGGCGGGACACGAGTGTTTAACTATAGTTTCTACATGTTTCTACTGAATGACACCAGAATAGGCCTGGGAGTAAGATATATTCGAGGCAGTATTCGAGGCATATCTTGGAGACTGCCCTGCAACAGTAGGACTTCATTTCATATACCAGCAGCACCCAGTTCGAGAGATTTAAAGACCCCTCTGACTATTTACTTTCCAAGGACCACCTAAACTGGATGATGCTGTGTATGTGAACATCACCTATGACATCCTATAGAGTCTATAGGGCCATAGAGGATGGAAACAGCGCGTGATCACATAAAATATGAACATGGATGAACATGGCGAGACATCGTGGTTTCGAGACATATGAGCTACTTAGTACTTCCCAAATAGGAAAGCATCCCATGGGCCTCCAACTCACCAGTTTCGCAGGTGCTGAAACGCGAGGAGAACAAGAGTTGGCGCTGGAACGAGGTGTTCCTGGGCCGAACATCGTCTTGGGGACATCGTTTGCGATCCCCGGCCATGGCGCAACAGCGGAAAGCGGACAGCAGACAGCAACGTCTGCGGGTGGAATCTCTCGGCTACTTCCTATAGGAGTTCTAGAAGGAATTACGGATACTGGATAAGTCTTAAGTCAGTCTTGCGTACCAGTCATGGAACCGCGACCAGGACGACGGACTGGTTTGGAGGTCCGTGAAGGTGTTTCTGGAAAAGGGCTTGCTTAGGACGAAGCTGTTGCTGATCTGTTTCTGGAATGAGGAGGCTGTCATGCATAGGAAAGCCATGAGGTTCCAGGATGGTGCTTGGTTCCAGGATGTTTGCCTGAGTTCAACCCAACAACCTGTCATGTGAATCCCAATTCTAATGTGTGTTATATAACTTTCTCCCTCTTTCTCCCTTTTCCTGGACAGCAGATCCAAGAAACGGATGTCCTGCCCCATCTAGCAGCTAGCACAACCCCTTCTTTCAAAGAGAGGTGTTTGTAAATCGATCGTGAACCAATCCACCGAGGCTGGTGCGCAGCAAGGAAGAGATCTTGCGAAGCTTGTTGGAGCCGGAGCGACCCTCAGGCACGACGACCCACGATGCGAACGGGCCACGCAGGGCGACGCGGGTTCGGGCGTTCGCCAGCGTGGGTGTGGACCCAGCGTGCAGCGGAACGGGGGACTGGCCGGAACGACCCGATCTTCAAGTACCGAAAATAGGACATGACATGACCGTAATGCATACTATATTGATATATCTATTTGATACTTATTATAGCTATATTCAGACACTTTCATGGGTGCTTCCTCGTGGTCCGCATCCGCTGTATTACATCAGGCGTCAAAAATAAAAACTGCACAGGTGGGCCACCCCATGAGCAGAGGCTCCAGTGATTCCGCCCGTCACGTACAGAAGCAAACGGCATGCGATCCACTCACTAAGAGTGGATGCACGGCACCAGCAGTTGTAACCGGTGAAGCATCAAGGTTCAGTTCACTCAGAAAAAAGAGTGCGATCACGGCTGAAAACGAAAAACTGGATCTTCCAACGACATGCCAAATGTCTGCCTATGTCTGCCTAACTTGGCTGATTTGGGATGAAAAGGCAGACATTTGGCATGTCGTTGGAAGATGCAGCTGTCTTTTACTACCGATCACTTGGCCGGCCGGCGCGACATCGCCAGTCCTCGAACTTCGCTCCGCCAGGCCTGCTGGAGGCGTTCCACGCGCCGCCGGAGGCGGCCGTTCCGGCCGTTCCCGCGCCCGTGCCGCGGCCCAAAGCGCCAGCGCGGCCGAAGGACTGGGTGGGAGGGCAGTGCCTTGGTGGGCGGTGTTCACCCCGGTCGCTGTAACCGGGTCGAACGAGCATCCCAACCGCGGGCAGAGATGAAAGGACACACCGGTCGGCCAATCATGCTTCGTTTTGGCATGTTTTGGCCACCGAACAAGCGCTCAGAGTGCATGGGAGCAGAAGAAGCGGGTCGGCCAAACCGATGGTGCGACCGGGAGGAGCCGGGAGTGTCGGGTCATCGTACGCTGCACAGCGATGAGGTGGATGAGCTGGGTCAACGGGCTGCTCCCAGGGTCCACGACCCACCATACCCAGACACGACTAATGGGACTGCCATAGGACTGCCGCCCCATTGACCCGCCTGGCACCACCCCAACTGATCGGCATACATGGAGTGTTTGGGATATACAGCAACCAGAGGTCGAGCTTCAAGATATGCTTGTCAACATGCCACTTCCACAGAACCGGCGCTTGTAATAGACTTATCACAGCCTCAGGTTGTAGGAGTGGAAGTTTCTCAGCTCTAAGCCGGTTGCGTACTTTATGGCACGAGGTTCGGTGAAGCAGTTGCAGATCGATGCGTGCTGGTTTCAGTCGCCCATGAGCCTACGTAGCACCTTGGAATGTTGGGGTGCAAGGATGTGCAAGGATCATGGGAATGATGTAAGATTATCTGATACACCACAGCTTTTCCTGCGATGTGATGTGTTCTTCTCTAAAAGCAACAACATAGCGCGCTGTGCCGAGTCCAGAGCGGTCCACACCAAAGAAACAGGCCGCAGGCCTGAGAACCTATAGGTTGTGCATTTGAGTTAGGTAGGTTTCGCCCATGTGCCCATCACCCGCTAACCCGTTTCAGCCGCCGGGCGGCAGCGGCGTATACACGTAGACGTTGCGTGGCAACGGACCAAGAGGACCACAAGGATGATGTGGGACAAGACGTTGGCATGGAAATGCATACGTGTGGATGGTTCAAAGGGCCTGGCCATAAAGTTTGGACAACTAAGATGCAACTCCAAGGATGAAATTGCAGGAATACCCAGCATCCGCTGGCAGCTAGCAGTAACAAAAATACACATCTTAGATAAACTTAGGTCCCGACTTAGGCAACGAGTCAGCAGATCTGGCAGCTAAGGAAATGCGAATAACTTTTACTAAGTTGTATTCTACTAAGGAATCACATGCATTTATTTAGATTCTGCAACATCGTCAAACATTCAATGCCAAGCCAGTTGAAGGGAAGTTGCATGATCCGAAAGTCAATCCTTTGGCAACCCTCTGCAACCAAAACATTATACAAACTAAAGGACTTGGATTTGCAAAGGAGGTACAACTGGAGCCCTAGGGTTTACTATGTTTTTGCATGGTTGTACGTGACCACCCAAGTGATTGAGTTATAAACTCTAATCTATATCATCAACCCCACTATAGATACCCAGGGTCATACCCAGACCCAGGGTAATACCCGGAGTCGTTGTCCAAACATGTCCACTTCGTGATGTGTTGGTTATAGACCATGACCCCAAGGCAAGCAGGACCAAGTTTAGAGGAACCGAACAAACTCGGCGCCGGGGCGCCCTCTTTCAGCGCTCCAAAGACTCATGGGAATCCGGTGAGAGAGAGAGACTCATGGGTTCTGCACGCCTCGGGACTCATGGGTTGGACAGCACGAGAAATCACGGGCTGGCGATTGGAACCACCACGTCACTCACAGAGTGTTTGGTGACTTTGGCTTTTCCAGGTCGTACAAGGTGGTACTAGTGTCAAACCCTTCCTCCCAAATGTCAGAGACTCTTATTTCATGACTGTACTGAATGGTGCGGTTCTCCCCAATCCTACATTTGCAACTTCCTAGATTCCTAGGTCAGTGGGTGCACTCCCAACCATTTCTTGGGGTTAGCGAAGGTCCACTTGGAGTCTCAAGCTACCTAGTGGGTACATGAGGGTCCCTCCCCCAAGTCAAGGGGCTTCAGGACAAGAATCGCACAAAGGACAACAGACATGTCGGGATCCAGGACTGAGAAGTCGCGTCGCATCATGCACCGACTCTTCAGACCCACCAACCTTGATCCGTCGGAGAACTGGTACCCAGGCCAGGACTCAGCATCCACCTTGATTCCCTCAGCCGAAGGAGCCCAAAGAACCTCCCCCTGCAGCTGCACCGCCTGCGCCTGCGCCTGCGCCTACTCAGCCGCCAGTGGGGCAGGTTGCACGGGTCCGGCGAGCGGCTCCAGATGCAGCAGAGCGCGTTTTTGAGAGAAGTGGTCGCTTGGAGATGATTTCGTGGATGCTACCAGGGCGCCTGGTCGGCCACTGGTCCACTGTTTTTGACCCAGTACAAGTATACAAGTTGTGATGAATTGGCGGAGTGGGGTGCGACCCAAGAGACCCAAGAGACTGGTTTTCGGGATCCATTGACCGGACCCAGGCATATGGCTGCTTTTTTTTTGTTTAATAGAGATACCTATATCTTCATAGGCTTGCTCTTTTTTTGCCTTCAGATCAAAAAATGGTTTTCAGATTCAGCGGCTGAAATCTGTGTCAGCGGCAGTTTTATATGTTTTCAAGATTTCAAGCTCTTGGTGCAATGGAACCACCATTGAGGACCAAAGACAGGAACATATTACACTAGTTTGTAAGTCTCATTAGATTTTACTGTTCCAATTCCCTTCCATCCGTCACCCTTCGCATCTTTTCTCGGCCATGAAGATTTGCAAGCTCATCATCTCCTGGAGGTGGGCTTGGCTCGCTTGGGCAGTGAAGGGTCTGTCATCAGCTTTGCTATACACGTATGTGTCGCATCCAATAGTTTAAATGAACTTGTAATACAAGGCATGCCATGCAAAACTGGTGCGCTATTACATTTGGCTGGCTAGGAAGTTAGGCTGTTGTGCGCGATTGTGGTGCTGATACCCCGTTCATGGCCACTATGAAGCGGGAGCTCTTGGAGCCAAATGTGAAAGGAGAAACTCTTGCGGCAGGTGACTTGAAGCCCAGTCCCAAGCCCAAGAAACAAAAGGTTGAAGACTTCGGGTTGGCCTTGGAGCTTGAGAATTGTAGAGCTGCACGCTCTGCCCTCAGGGAGTGTGGCAGGCTCGTTCAATGGATGAAGCAGGAAAACGTCATCACCCTAGAAGTTTTGGGTTTGAACATCTCAGTGATGTCTGCCGTGGCATCGTACCACTGCTCACGTCATTCCGTGGTCAAAGCTCCTGCTATTGATTTTTTGAAGTCGCAGGCCTGGGCCTGGGTGAAAGAACAAAGTAAACCAGTGTTAACTTATGTGTGTGTTCACTTTATTGGTTCATATGGCGCTCTCCACCTGGCTTTGTTGGCATTTCATGTGCTGTCAGGTCTGGAAGTTGAGGAATCTTCTTGGCTGCAAGTGGGATCCCGTGAAGATTCACCAAGATGCCTGGGCTTTGAAAAAGATCTTCTCATACAGTTTGAGGCGAACCGGCTTAGACAGCAGGCATGGCCCCGAGTACACTCCAACTCGGAAGGCAATCTGGATGGTTTAAGACATATGTTTTCTTTTTGAACATATTTGTAAAACAATATTGAACTATAGCACAAGGTTTAGTGATAGGCTGCGGTCCAAGCCCAGGCATTCGGTGTGACTGAGTACTTTGACATCATCAACAAGCATTGGGGTGAAGCTTTGAAAAAGCTGCACGAGGAGCGTGCTGCACGGAGGAAAGCCTTGCCTGACACCTCGGCAGTTGATGAGTCTCCAATTGAGATTGCTGATGATGACGGGGCGGACCTCGTTTTGTTGGAGCATCAGTCCCTTGAGCAAGCAGAGCGGGGAATCGTCAGTGAGACCATGGATGTTGATTGCGGCGACCCAGCAAAGCCTTCACTCGAAGAAGTCAATGACAGGATTGCACGGGTCAAGCAGCTTGTATCCTATTTGGTTAGTTTTTTTCAGGCCATGAACTGCCGCCACAACTCTATAGTCGATAGGTTGTATATGTTGCTTTTGATATCTTTTGATCCATGTGTTCCATCTGCCGCAGCCGAGGCATGCTCTGGAGCAAAGGCGCCTGGCCCACGCGGTGGCAAGCTCCAAAGAGTCCGTTGACACGATGGATACTCAGGGCTACGATTCCAATGCAGCGGCTGCTGAACACTCGCAGTTTGACCCATACCAAATTCCAGTGGGAGCTGTTCTTGATTTTGACGGTCAGAGGGCCAAACCTTTTGCGATGTGCGGTGCATCACATGATGAAGAGAAGGCTCTACTTGATGCTGAGGCTCAGCTTCTTTGCCTAAGAGCTCAGAAGGAGAAGGATGCTGAGGAAAGGCTTGAACGTGAAAGCGAGGAGAAGTCTGGTGTTGAGCAATGTGAAGCTCAACGTGCGGCTGAGGAGAAGGCCCAGCGTGAAGCTGAGGAGAAGGCTCAGTGTGCAGCTCAGGTGAAGGCTCAGCGTGAAGCTCAGGAGAAGGCTCAGGCTCAGCGTGAAGCTGAGGAGAAGGCTCGGCGTGAAGTTGAGGAGAACGCCCAGCGTGAAGTTGTGGAGAAGGCCCAGCGTGAAGCTCAGGAGAAGGCTCAGCTTGAAGCTGAGGAGAAGGCACGTCTTGATGATGAGAGGCAGCAAGAACTTCGTCGTGTGGCTCTTCGTGAAGCTTCGGAGAAGGCTCGTCTTGAGGTTGAGAGGCAGGAACTCCTTCTTCGCGAAGCTCAGAAGAGAGCTGAGGCTCAGCGTGAAGCTGAGGAGAAGGCTCAGCGTGAAGCTCAGGAGAAGGC